AGTGTTGTGAACTTGGTTATGGGAATTTTCTTGTTTTGCTTCATGGATGTTGTCCCAACATTCTAAAGAAACAGACTAAATTTCATCCCAGATGTTATGCCTTTTAGAGGAAAACACATCTTCTTGACTCTTGGGGATTGTAAACTGGGGGAGGGAAGGGCAGCTGGAGGAGATGAGTGTTAGAATATGAATCAAATCATCAGAAAACATCTCTGTAAATTCCTTTCCTTTTACATAGCAATGAAAACAATTCCTTTCATGCTTAGAACATTTTTTCTTTTATCAAAAATACTTATAGTATCTTCTTTTGCTATATTCTCACATGACCTCTATGAGTGAAGTGGGACAGAGATTATTATTCTCATTTACAGGTGAGGAAACTGAAGCCCAGAGATGTTGAATGTCCCACCACCATTTAGGAGCAGAATCAGGGAATAGAACAAAAATCTCCTGACTTCTGATCCAAAGCTTTTGGTCTTTTCCCCCTTTCATAGTGCCTGGAAGTCACTCTTACAACTGGAATTGGGGGCATTGTGGGTCACTGGCTGGGGATATGGACATTTCTCTTTGTGGACTCTCATGTAGATAGCGTGACCTTTAGAATCATCCTAGGGCAGGAACTCTTAACCTCTCTTGTGGGTCATGGATTCACTTGGTAAAACCTGATGATCTCTGGACTCCTCAAAATGTTTTTAAATTCATAAAATAGAAAATAGGATTACAAAGGAAACCAATATTAAAATACAGTTATCAAAATATTTTATTTTTTAAAAAGGACATGATCTCAGGTTAAGAGAGAGTCTGCAAGAGTCTCATACAAGGTCATACATGGAATTCAGTGTTTATTTGTGAGACCAAGGTCTTTCTGCCTGACAAGTGCCATACTACTTCCTAACAGACACATGTTCCTGTGTCCTAGGGTCCTCTCTGTTGACTCAAAACAATTCCATTTGGCAAGTGCCGGTTAAGCACCTGCTATTTGTATAGCATCGTGCTAGGCACTGTGGGAGATACAAAGTTTAATTAAATCGTGAGTAAGTCCAGTTTTGGACAGTTCTAATTCTTAGGAAATTCTTGAGTTATTATGCATGTAGGGCAGACTATGAGCAGATAAGGTAGAAGATACTCCTACAAATTTGTAGTCCTACAAACATAATTTTTTAAATTATATATCTTGTTTTTACATCACATTTATTTCCAAATATATACCCCCTATTGCTCTATTCAACATGAAATAAAGAAGAAAAAAAGAAAAAATCAATTCAACTAACTAATATATTAACCAAATCTGATAGTACATGTAATGTTCCATACCCAAAGACCCCAGCTCCATAAATAAGCCCTATTTATCCCAGTTTTTTCAATTGTTAAAAGAAGCTCTTTGTTTGGGCCTTTGCTCTCAACAATGAAGCAAACTCAGATAGAGAAAATTAAAAGTTTATTGTAGCACTCAAGGCAAAAGTACATTGAATGCAACCAGGAGGCAAAACAATCCTGAAAGGTACACATTTCTAAAAGGGGAGAGGTTCCTCCCTTAATGCCACATCATAGAGAAATGAGACTTGAAATGAGGAGATCGGATGAAAGCATATGGGCTACCCGGGGATTAGTAGATATTATAGAGGACTAGGGATGGGATCAAAGTATGTATGGCCTTTTCCTACACACTGGCTGCTTCTACTCTAGAAGATAAACAAGACTGGAAGAATAGGATAGCTCAGACTCTGAACAAGTTTCAACACAACCTCTTTGAAAGCCTGCATCTGTTTTCTTGATACACTCATAGAATCTCCTGTAGTAGTTCAATTTGCCTATACTGCTTGGGTAAAGGTCATGAGGCTCTGAGTCCTTTCTTCCCAGAGCCAATCTGCTTAGTAATAGAGTGTACCTGCAACTGGCCCAGGGCCTCCCACCAGGACCATCCAGCTGGGTGGGCTTAGTTAGGAGAGGGTCAGAGCAAAGAGTATGTGTGCATGGGTCTTTATGTCCGTGAGAAAAGCTCGATGGGGGGGGGGGGTTGGAGAATAACAGGAAAGAGTAGAAAATTCCATGGTTCTGAGCCAACATAAATGTTTAGGAATTGTCTCTACTATGTAATTATTTTTGCATTGGGGCCTTTCTCCTCTTCTCTAAAGCCAGCAATTGAAGGGCTGCTGAAGAACTGCCTTTTCCATTAGGGACACAGTGAGGCAGAGTGCTGAAGAAGTTGCTTTTGGAGACAGCGGCCTTAGTTCAGATCCTCACCTTGCCAATCACTAGCTATGAGACCTTGGGGAAAATCTCTTCATCTGTCTTCAGGCTCCTCACCTGGACAAGTTGCTGGACAAACCAAGGGGACCTCAAAGACCACCCCCTAAGTCAAGGAGCAGCAAAAGATGGAACCTCAATCTGGAAGAGCAAACCTGGACTTTGACCTTCATTAGCACACAGAACCAAGCAGAGGAATCTAAAGACTGTGAGGGAACTCGAGCTGGGGGAACTAGAAATAAAGCCATGATGTGGAGCAGCAGTGACAAACTCATTGGAAATGGGGCTTCTTGAAAGGAAGAGCAAGTTGTGCATAGTAAATTTGCAGTTTTATGTACAATCATCTTTTTCATTGTACTATGTAATGGAAATGCTTGTTTTATTCCATAAATTAAAAATAAAGTAAAATAAAAAAAGAAATGGGGCCTCTAACTATCCTTAGGGATCCCTGTAGACGCATATTGACATAGGAACCCACATATTAACATTATTGTTTATCTGTTTCAGTCATGTCCAACTCTTTGTGACCTCAATTTTGGTGTTTTCTTGGCAAAAATACTGGAGTGATTTGCCATTTCCTTTTCCAGTTCATTTGACAAATGAGGAAACTGAGGCAAACAGTGTTAAGAGATTTGCCCAGGGTCACCCAGCTAATAAGTGTCTGAGGCCAGATGTGAACTAAGGAAGATGAGTCTTCCTGACTCCAGGCCTGAAACTGTATCCACTGTGCCACCTAACATTATCTATGTTCTACTGTAGTTTTATTTATTTTGTAAGTATTTCCCAATTACATTTTAATCTGATTCCTGATGTTATCCAAGTAGAGGAACAAACTAGCATCTTGCTCTTCCTTAGTACTGCACTTGGAGTCAGGAAAACCCAGCTTCAAATTCTACTTACTTACTAGTCATGTGACCCTAGGCAAGTTATTTAACTTCTCTCAATCTCAGTCTCCTCATCTATTAAATGTGGAAAATATTAGTACCTACCTCATGGGGTTGTTGTGAAGATCTAATAAGATTGTATGTATAAAGTACTTTGTAAGCTTTAAACTGCCATCTAAATATCATTAATTATGATTATGATTATTAGAAGTTTATGTGCATTAACAGGACTGGGGAAGTCAAAGTTAATAACACCAATCTTCCATCTTCTGGAGAAGCTTCAACCTTTGAGTAATACTATAAGTCTGGAGGACCATATAGATCTCTGGGGAGAAATTGGGTTCATTGGAAGGCAGCATGGTCAGTGTAAAAAGTTATAAGACTTGTAGTTGATGGACCTGAGTTCTACTACTGGCTCTGCTCCTTACCATCTGTATGACTCTGGGCAAATAACTTAACTTCTCTGGTATTGATTTTGTCCATGTTTAAAATGAGGAGGATGGACCAGATGACTTCTAAGATCTCTTCCAACTCTAGTTCTGTGAGTCTATAAGGGAGAGTTGCCTTGAAAAGTCATGGGTTTGGCTGTGTGTCCTTTTGTGTTTTGCATTTTCTGGCTGGCAAAATCAAGCCCATCTTGTCTTTGATGTATTGTTAGCCTGAGTGCTTGCTTGGAAGCTAAGGACTTCTTTGTTCTCCTATAGAGAACTAGACATGAACTCTGTCTGTCTGTCTGTTTCTGTCATTTTCTGTCTCATCCTCTTTCTCTCTGTCTCTGTCTTTTCTCTGTCTCTTTGTTTCTTTCTCTCTGTCTCTTTCAGTCTCTATCTCTCTGTCTCTATGTCTGTCTCTCTGCCTCCGTCTCTTCTCTGCCTCTTTCTCTGTGTCTGTCTCTTTCTGTCTCTGTGCTGGTCCGAACAGTGCACTCTCCTTCTAACAGGAGCAGGCAACCAGGGTCATACTCACTGGTCCTCGGAGCCCACCTGGATAAACATAGAGACGAGCCGATCAGGAGGTGCAAACACTCGAACTTTATTCAGAGACCATCACAGCAAGGCCAAGCAGGAAAGCACGCGCACACGAGCAGGAGCAAGCGAGAGCACGCCCTGATCCCTACCGCTCCTTATGTACCTTCCTCGCCCCTCCTCCTCAGCCCGCCCACTAGTGACTGGTTGTAGGATCAGATTCCGGAAGGGGATGTCTGGGGTTAGTGCTAGACAAAGGGAGAGTACGTGACACAGGAAGCTAGGCCTGGACACAGGAAGGAGATATCTGGGGTTAGCGCTGCACCTAGGGAGAGGACTAGACAAAGGGAGCTCGTTCTCTGCCGTCTCACTCCCACGTGGCACAGCCCCCTGCCTCAGGAGCACATGCTCTGGCTACTTCCTTGTATCCTGCTCCTTCCCCAGCTTATCACAACTCCACATAGCACAGTCCCCTGCATCGGGAGTGTGAGCTCTGGTTACTTCCTAATATCCAGTTCCTACCCCATCTTGCCACAACCCGCACTTGGCAGTAGTCAACATCAGACAATCCCTCACAGTCTCTCTCTCCTCTCTCTGTCCCTGTCTCTCATTGAGATTTGGGCAACAGTTTACAGATGGGAAAAAAGATAAATGACCAGATGACTTCCATCCCAATGACAGTCCTCTTCCAACTCCATTTCCACGCCATCTCCACCCCATCCCCAAACAATAAACTGGACTTCTCTGGAAGCAGAAGCCAAGCCACCTCTTAGCCAGCAGATTTCTAAAAAAAAGGAGGGTGTGTCAGTTGGCAAAAAAATTTAGTTCCTGAGATCAGCAGTACATTTTCCTTATTTGTCATAAAAATAAACAAACTCACAGATATAATTTGAGCAGAGCTTAGTCCAGAGACAGAGAGAGAAAATGAGCATGGATACAAAACCGGTCCAGCTGGAACCAGAACCCATGGAGAGCAGAAAGTAAGTTAGATGCACGTTCTTTGATGCAGGTAGGCTGGGAAATTTGAGGAAACCTGGTGAATGAGGAAAAGAGGAAATTTACCAAATGTATATATGCTTGTGTGTGCATTTATGTATGGATGTATGTCCAGAGTTAATCCTCAGAAAAATTTCAAAATTGTCAAACTCTTTCTTGAATACTTTCCTACTTCTCTTTCTATTCCCTTTTGTGGCTCCTGATACCCACACTCTCCTCACATTCCTTCTAACCATCCTAAGCCCACCCAGATAGAAGTGAAAGAACATGGAGTCATAAGACTTGGGTTTGAATACTAGTTCTGTTACTTACTACCTGTGTGGCCTTAGGCAAATCACTTTGCCTCTCTGGGTCCCCATTTTCTCTTTGTCAAGTAAGGGGGTTGGACTTGATCTCTGAGATCCCTTCCAACTCTAGACCCCTAGGACCCATCTTCTCTCACTATTCCCTTACCCAACATTACTTTTCCCTACTTCCCCATTCCCATCAAAACTCTCATATCCTCAGTGAAGGAAGATGTGATTTGACTAAAAACCCTGCAGTCACCTTAACCCTCTTGGTTTTTGTTGTTATTGATTTTAATTTTGGGGGTTTTGGCATTTTGTAAGAGTGTAGCTGGTTCAAAGGAATTATTCAAAGGAATAATTGATAGAATACCAGCCATTATAATAAGGAGAAGTTAATAAAGAATTTCTGGAGAGCAATGAAGGAGAGATTTGGGGCCAAAGGGACTTCTTGACCCCTTAAATCATATCAAATAGATGGGTCACATACTCTATTTTGCAGTTGGGAATCTGGTATGCGTGTGAAGGGGATGCAACTGGGAACAATAAGGGCTTTGGCCCCTGGGCACTTACCCCATGGACTAGTCTCTAGACTCCAGAGTGGCACTGCCAACTCTGGCTACTCATTTTCTCCTGCTATCTGTCAGAAGCCCTGGAATTGAATTTCATCTCTACCGCTCAGTACTTGTGCAATCTTGAGCAAATCCCTCCACCCCTCTGAGTTTTAATTTCATTGTCTTTAAGATGAGGGAGGTTGAGTCAGGTGATAAGGACCACTGGGTTTGGATCAAATTGAGGCCTTAGCACTTGTTATCTGGCCTTTCCCCTCTCTGGGCCTTAGTCCATAAAATAAAGATGGTTGAAGTAGATGACTTCTAAGATATAAGCACTAGATATAACATCCTGGGGTCCCATGATCATTATAGACTACTTCCAGTTCTAAATTCTATAGTATAGTACTATGAAGAACGTTAGCCATATCTGAAAAACTTCCTGGGATAATATTTTTATATTTTTATTTATTTCATTAAATATTTCCCAATTACACATAGAAAAAATTTTTTAACATTCATTTAAAAATGAGTTCTAAATCCTCTCCCTCCCACTCCTCCAGAAGGCAAGCAATATAATATTAATTATACATGTGAAGTAATGTAGAACATATTTTCACATTGATGATATTGCAAAGGAAAACACCCACACACCCACACACATGCAAGAAAAATGAAGTTTAATAGTATACTTCAAGTTACACTCAGAATACCTCTCTTCTCTCTCTGTAAGTGGATAGCATTTTTCTTCATGGGTACTTCAGAACTGTCTTGAATCATTGTCTTAATCAGAGTAACCAATTCTTTCATAGTTTATCATTCTTACAATATTGCTGTTATAGTGTGCAGTGTTCTCTTGGTTCTGCTCACTTCCCTTTGCATGACTTCACATCAGTCTTCCCAGGTTTTTCTGAAACTGTTTTGTTCACCATTTCTTATAGCATAATAGTATTCTATCACAATCATACACCACAATTTGTTTAGCCATTCCATAGTTGATGGGTATATCCTCAAATTCCAATTCTTTGCTACCACAAAGAGTTGCTATAAATATCTTGGTACAAGATATTTTTTCCATTTTCCCTTTTCTTTGATCTCTTTAGGATACAGATCTATTAGTGGTATTGTTGGGTCAAAGGGTATACACAGTTTTATAGCCCTTTGGGCATAGTTCCAAATTATTCTCCAGAATGCTTGAACAACTTCACAATTCCATCAACAGTGCTTTAGTGTCCCAATTTTTCCACATCCCCTCCGGCATTTGTCATTTTCCTTTTCAGTCATGTTAGCCAATCTGATAGGTGTGAGGTGGTGTCTCCAAGTTGTTTTAATTTACATTTCCCTAATAAATAGTGATTTCAAGCATTTTTTATGTGACTATTGATAGCTTTGATTTCTTCTTCTGAAAACTGCCTGTTCATGGAAGGATGGTGGTACCTCCAGTAGAAATTGGAAAGTTCAGGGGGCAGCTAGGTGGCGCAGTGGATAGAGCACCAGCCCTGAAGTCAGGACTACCTGAATTCAAAGCCGGCCTCAGACCAAACACTTGACATTAGCTGTGTGACCCTGGGCAAGTCACTTAACCCCAATTGCCTAAAAAATAAAATGAAATAAAAAGAAATTGGAAAGTTCAGAAGAAAGATGGGTTGGGGGTGAGAAGGACACGTTATATTTGAAATGCTTATGGCATATGTCCTAGAAGTAGTTGGTGTTGCAAAATTGGAGTACATAAGACTGGAGTTGAATATATAGATCTAGGAGTCATCAGCATAAAGATGATAATTAAACTCATGGGGAATGTTGAGGTCACCAGGTGAGAGTATGAACGAAGAGATGACCCAGGATAGAACCTTGGGGGACACCCACAGTTAGGGTTTTTGATGATCTAACAGAGGAGCAATCAGAGAGGTAGGAGTAGAAACAAGAGAAAGTTGTGTCATGAAAACCCAGAGAGAAGAAGATATCCACGAGGAGAGGGTGGTCAATGGTGTCAAAGGCTACAGAGGAGTCAAGAGGGAAAAAGTCTGAGAACAAGCTATTACATATCTCTCTTTGGAGAGAGCAGCTTTGGTTGAGTGATTAGGCGAGAAAGAAGTGAGTTAGAGGAAAGGAAGTACAGGCAAAAATTGTAGAAAACTTTCCCTAGAAATTTGGCTGTGAAAGAGAGGATGCGCACGACAATAACATGAGAGTAGGACCTAGTGAGGGTTTATTTAAAATTGGTGGGATGGGGCAGAAGAGGAGGACTTGAACATGTTTATAGGGAAAAGAGAAGGAAGCAATAGATAGGGAGAGATTAGAGAGAGAAGAAATATTTCTGGCAGAGAAAACATGAGGAGAGATTAGAGAGAGAAGAAATATTTCTGGCAGAGAAAACATGAGGAGAGAAAACATCAAGAGTACATATGGAGAGGTTGGCTTCAGCAAACAGAAAAGCCACCTTTGAACCAGAGATTGTAGTAAAGGAAAAAAGAATGGGGAATAATGTTAAGGGGTATGGAGATCTAGACAGGAGCTGGGAAAGAGGGAACTCATCTTGAATGGCCTCAATTTTCTCTCTAAAGTAAGAGACAATATCCACAGCTGAAGAGGGTGGTGTGGGAAGCTTGGGGAGAGAAGAGAAGATTCAGAATGGCCTCTGTGGGGACTATGATAGAGAGTTAACTAGGGATGAATGAAAGGATTGCTATATTCTGGTGAGGGTCCAGCTGGGTTTATATAGCATGAATTTGCAGTGGACCTATGGTTGCATGACTTCTTCCAACTCCATTCCACATTACATGAGTAATAGCTCTTTCTACTAGTAATTTTTTTTCTTTTTTAAGTGGTTCCTTGAGATATATTTCTGATAATGAGATTATTAGGTCAAACGGTATGGCTATTTTTATTACCCATTTATATTGCCAGATGGTTCAGGGTTTTTAAGTCAGAAAGTCAATTTGTTTTTTTTTTTAATTGATAGGAATTATTTGACCTTTCTACCTTGTGAAAAATGATTTCTCTAAGAAATCTGTGTCTTGGAGACTCAGAGCTCCCCCCTGTACTCTTCTATTCAAAGTTCTTCAGAAGGACATTTATGATAATGAGATTGCATTGAATCTTCTTATCTTGGTCAAACTCCAGATCCAAGCCTGAATTGATTTTATCCCACTCAGATTTGGGTAGAGACAGATTCCCAAGACTGGGGGTGGTATTTCTTTTGCCTGGATGGTGGGTGATAACAACCCTGTTGACCAAGATTGAGTGACCTGGGTCACATATTCAGAGACCCTCATTTTAATATAACCCCCCTCCCAGTGTGTTGACCAATCATAGTTGATTGGCACCCTTTAGAAACAACTACTCTTTGAAGGGCACATAACCCTACACCCCAAAATTCCAAATCAAGCCAGATCTGAACTGGCCCCCCTAGGAGGGCCCAATTTTGGACTGAACTCCCATGCAATGCATGTCAAGCCAGCTTGAGAGAAATTAAGCTGTGGACACCCACATCCTAATCTCATTTGTCTCTTTCTTAGAATAGACTGTGTAATAAATTGGAGTTTGACAAACTCCTACCCCTTCCTAACTGAAAAAAAAAATAATCCCCCTATAACAAATATGTATAATCAAGCGAAATATAACACCATATTGGCCATGCCCAATCATGCATGTTTCACTTTGGATGCCTAGTCTATCACCTTTTTACCAGGAGGTAGACAGCATTCTAACTCTGGAAGCATGGCTATTGTGTCAATCAAAGTTCTTAAGACTTTCACAATTATTCATTTTTATAATGTTATTGTTATAGTAGATTTCCCCTCCTCTTGGTTCTTCTCATTTCACTCTGAATCATTCAAAGTGAGGTTCAAGTGATACCATTCTTCCAGTTACCCCTACCCCTTTTTCAATTATATAGTCTTCTATTTGCACCCCTGATTATCTGAGGTAAGTCCCACTCCTCTCCCTTTCCCCCTTAATGTATCTTTTTTCCCCTCTCCCTTTCCTTTCTCTTTTTAAGATCATCAAAATATAACAAAAAATTACTCCAAAGCTCTCCATTTTATTTTACTCCCTCTGTGACCCCTGCTGACATCACCATTTTTGAAGGATGCTTGTATTATCACTCTCCAATTAAAATGCAGAAACTTCCTAATTATAAAGTCTTTTCTGATTGCTCACTTTCATTTATCTTTTGTGTTTGTCTTTATTCCCATGTTTGTATTTTAGTTTTATTAAACTCTAGTCTTTTCTTTAAAGGTGATTGGAAGTCTTCTACTTCATTAAAGATCCATTTTTGTTCCCTGTAAGATTATATTTAGCTTTTCTGGATAATAATTCTTAATTGTATTCTTGATAGTAAGCCTATATCTTTTGCCTTTTGGAATATTGTATTCCATGCTCTCTTCCTTTATAGTGGTAGCAACTAAATCTTGTGTGACCCTGATTATGGTTCCTTGCTACCTAGAATCTTTCCTTTAGGACAGTTGCAGTATTTTTTCTTCAACCTGCAACCTTTGGTTTTGGCCATTACATTTCCAGAAGTTTTCAATTTCTTTTAGGCAATAACTGGTAAATTCTTCACATTGAAATTTGCTCTCTGGTTCTAAGAAATGTGAGCAGTTTTCTTTCATGACTTCTAGGCTCTTTTTTCCGACATCACTTTAAGCTAGTACAGTGATTCTTAAATCATCTCTCTTTGATCTGTTTTTGGCATGGGACACATTGGCTTCACTTTAATATTTCTTCTTTCTTCCACATTGTCATTAATTCTGATTTTGTCCATTTTAATTTTCAGTGAGTCTATTACTTGATGAAGATTTTGTAACTCTTGTCCTAAGATGTTAATTCTCTTTCAAGTCTTTTCCCATAGTTCTAATTTCTTTTCCAATTCTTTCCTCTATCATTCTCATTTTACTTATGATACTATCTTTTAACTCATTTTTAAAATCTTGTGTTATTTCTCCTAGTAATTCTAATTGATGTGGGCAAGTTGGGTTTGCTTTGCTTGTGAGCATTTTGGAGTTTTCCTCTTCTTGGTTTATGTCTTGGGCATCCCTAATCTCATAATGGTTTTTTATCTTTTTATTAGTCATTCTTCCAGTAATCAGCATTTCTAGGTTAGCTAAGAACTCTTTTGGATCTAAGTCTATGATCCCAAACCCTGTGGGAGATCCCTCCTGAGGTGCTGGCCCAGCTCCAAGATCAGTTGTGGGCATCTCTGTGCAATAGGCCTAGCTCAGAGTTCTGAGTAATGAGTCTATAATCCCAGTCCAAACTGGCTCCATAATTTCTTCCTTAATCACCTGCAAATGGGTCAAATTTGTGATCTTGGGCTATAGACGTGACCCCCCATAGTTTCTTCTTTGATGTCCTGCTCAGTCTGGCATTCTTTTTAGATCATTGTCAGAGTAGTTTTGGAGGGAGCTGGGCTGTACTCTTTCCCCCTACTCTGACATCTTGGCTAGTCTCCCAGTCAATTTATTATCCCTGCAGTAATACTTGACCTGAGGTCCAGCATTGGTATTCTGGAAAAAGAGCTACCTTCCTAGAGGGGAAATTTCTTTATTTTTTAGGGGACCAGATTACGGAGTAAGAGGCTTTTTGTTGAGTATAGGATAAGTCTAACAAAGGTGGCATAACCTGATCAAATGTCTTTACCCACTCAAACATTGTTTCTGTCTAAGGAACCAGTCACATAGAATTAGAGCCTCTCTTCCCAATCAGTGCTAGAAATAGGCTGCAATTCTATAAGCATCTATTGTCTCCTATGTTCCAAGCACATGGGAGGCTTAATAAATAATTAAAAAAACAATCCTTGTCCTAAAAGAGCTCCCATTGAAGGGATGGGAGAAGGGAATTCTATTGGAACTGATCTGGAGAAAGGCCAGCTGCCATCTTCATATATATATATATGTGTGTTTATATGTATATTATATATATGCATATTTGTATATATGTGTATTATATTTGTATATGTGTGTATGTATGTGTGTATGTATATGTATGTATACATATATGTATATATACACTTTTTAGGTATATATATATATAAACACAAAGTATGTAAGAAGAGATGTATTCCATGGGGACCATCATTCTTCTACATGTACTTATCATTACAATGTTCCTCATTTTACCACCATGACCCTTAATTCATTTCAGCAACATTTCATGTCAGGCTACAGTGCCAAGATTGCAAATTATTTCCCACTGTTTCCATTTGGAGTTGTCCCTTTCCTGCCAACATACAGAAAGAACATTAATCTTATCAGGAGATACCTTCATTTCACATCAGACAATGATTTGCTTTGAGTGAGGTTTCCTGTAGATTGATAATCCTATATATAATTTGTTCAGTTTTTTGCTTGTCATAAGTCCCAGAGGATTGGCTTTCCTGACTTTTTCCCTGGATTCTGGGATCCATTTTTACCAGGACCCTGTTACACTGGAGTCATAATTTAAATGCTTTTGTATTTGAAGGGAGATCTCTGGTATGCTATATAGGTCTAGGTATACAAGAGTTCTAGTCTGGGGGATCTACTAAGGCATGGTGATAGGTACTATGGATCTGGAAGTGATAAAGAATTCAGGAGATCAGAAAGAATGAGCAAAATCAGTAGTTGACACCCAAAGGTAAGCTGTCTTTCTAAGGCAGAAGTTATTTTCTTTTAATTTGATTTCATATTTCTTGCTTAATTCAATGATTGGTACATAGAAGGTACTTAATAAAGAATCCTTTCCTTCCTCCCTCCCTCTTTTCCTTCCTTCCTTCCAGCCCAGAGTCCACAAGTATTCATTATAACCAGAAAGTCAAAGAGCAATGTCAAAGTCATAGGTTTCAAATGAAACCTGCCTCTAATTGGGGCAGGAGCAAAGGTACTTGGATCGTTGGGATCTTCTTTCAGGTTCCTCTTTCCATTGACAAACCAGAAATTTCCCTTTGGTTCCTCAGTGCCATGAATATTGATGATGATGCTAAATGGCTGGAGTGGGTGTCACGCCAGTTTGCGGCCATTGCTGGCAAAGACCGGGAGATTGACCTGCAAGAATTCAAGACAGCATTGAAAGTGAAAGAGGCAAGTGCTTATTCAAAGCCCAAGATGGAGCTTATATTCTACCCAGAGAAAAAGCAATAAATGTCTTAAGAAATGAGGGATTGGTCTGTTCACTGCTTCCAAGAAAGCTGAAGGCCCCACCAATGAAAATCTGGTGATCTTTTTTTCTTTTATGAAATGCTCCCATTTAGGGCAGATAGATGGTGTAGTGAATAGAGTACTTGGCTTGGAGTCAGGAAGACCTGAGTTTAAATCCAGCCTCAGACACTTATTAGCTGAGTGAACCTGGGCAATCACCTCACTGCTGTCTGCCTCAGTTTCCTCAACTGTAAAACGGAGATAATAGTTGCACCTATCCCCCAGGGTGGTTGTGAGAATGAAATAAGAGTAATTACAAAGCACTTAGTAAGCACTGTGTGAACATTACTTGTTATTATTAGGTGGGAGCAGTACTGATATTCCCCTCACTTCACCTGGAAGTGTCAGGGATAGCTTGATCCTGGCCTGATATATTCATCCATAGCTTTCTAGGGTGGGGAATCTGTGGCCTTCTAGGTCCTTGGTGAAGTCTTTTGACTGAGTCCAAGTTTTACAGAACAAATCCTTTTATTAAGGGGATTTGTCCTGTGAAGTTTGGATTCAGTCAAAGGGCCACACTTGAGGACCTAGAGGGCCACATGTGGCCTTGAGGCCGCCTCTTCCCCACCCCTGGTTTAGACCATGACTGGCTATGTTCCAAGTCTTTTCAATTCTTCTTTTCTACATTTTTGTTCAGAGTTCCCTTCCTTCCATTCAGATTGCCTTAAGTACTTCTGGCATGCATTCTCTGTTTTTATCAGGCTTGATTCCTTGCTGGCCCAAGGCTTAGCTAAAAAATGTCTCACATATAAAGAGTTTCTCCACAACAGTGTAATTGCTGTCACTAATATACTACTTCTCTCCAGGCTACCGGATTATCAGAAAGAACCAGCAGAAGAGGTCAATCTTTTGCTGGTGACCATGTGATCAAAGTCAGTCCCACTGGGCTTTCCATGTATTTTATTTGATGTGGAGTTGCTGCAACTAGTCGGTACTAGAGAAACTTGACTTTGCATTCTGGAAAAATCTCTAGTATCTAGCAGCGACCTTTCTAGGTAGTCCTTTTGTGGGGGTCACATGCAGAGATGTGCTGCATTAGCTCTAAACCTGCTACTTAAAATTTCAGTATGAGAATTTATTCCTCCAAAACCAGGAAGGCAAATCAGGACTTGATTTATTATTTTATTGATTGTCTAGACTTATGAGAGTGATGGAGAAAATATGAATAATGCAGATGAAACTCAAAAGTGTTTTCTGAGTACATTTTTTTCAGAGAGCCAATTGTTAAATATTTACCAGCAGACATGTCTCCTTAGTAGCCTATGTCACTGATCCTGAGTTTTAAACAAATTATCCCAGTACTCTGTGTACCTGTATGTGTATGTACATATATATGCATATATATGTGTGTATACACATATACATATACACACATATATATATACTGTATATATGTATGTTATGTATATGTTCAGGCCTATGAGAACAGAATTCCCCCAAAGTCCAATAAATTATTTGCATTTATAAACAAGAGTGAGAGTCTCAGTTAGTCTTGATTCCCTAGAATGTGCGACAGTGATCTGATAGGATGTTTCTGAGGCTCCCACTGCTTTCCTTGAAATCTATGCCTGGGGAAGTGAGCATTTTCTCACACAGGGATCTGAATTGAAATGAATTGAAAGGAAATAATCCCATAAAGTCTGGTCAGTCCATGCTGCTTATTCTAACATCTCCCTGTAGAAGGTAGGCATACCCAATGAAAAGGAAGAAAATAAAAATCAGTGTTGCCTGGGTCCTGATCGTGGACCTCACAGTTTGTTTCCTGAAGGGCTACCATATGGAACAGAGATAAAGTTTATGCTCTGTAGTTCCAGAAGACAGAGCTAGGCCTAAAAATACAGGCCATAGGGAGGCAAATTGCTTATTTTGAGAATTTTCTCACAATCGTACCTATTTCCTATAGGAGTTGACTTCCCATTGATGGGAAGTATTCATTGATGAAAGTATTCAAGCAGATTTTGACAATGGTCTAGGAGATTCTTATATCAGTTAGGAGGACTAGGTGTTAGGTAGTACAGTGGTTAGACTACTGGCCTTGAAGTCCAGAGTTCAAATCTAGTCTCAGGCATTTACTAACTATATGACCCTGGGAAAGTCACTTAACCACTTTCTGCTTCAGTTTCTTCATCAGTAAAATTGGGATAGCACCTATCTTCAAGGGTCATTGTATGGATAAAATGAGATAATATTTGTAAGGCACTTTGCAAATGTTAAAGTATTTTGTAAATGATCACTTTAATTAAAATGGCATGATGATGATGATGACGATGATGAAGTGACTTCTAAGGTTCTAACACTCTGTGATTCCCACAGTCCTTCTTTGCAGAGAGGTTTTTCGCCCTGTTTGACTCTGATGGAAGTGGCACCATCACCCTACAAGAGCTGCTGGGGGCTCTGAATCTGCTCATCCATGGGAACACGATGGACAAACTCAAATTCCTCTTCCAGGTGTATGATGTGGATGGTAAGAGGCTGGCCCCAGTGGTAGAATCTGATGATGGCAGCAGAATGATGGGAGTTTCAGGGAAGAGGAAGGAAGGGTGAAGTATTTTTCTCTCCCAAGGCTTTTTGTTATTGAGTCATTTTCAGTCATGGCTGACTCTTTGTAACCCCATTTGGGGTTTTCTTGCAAGTGGAGTGGTTTGCCATTTCCTTCTCCAGCTCATTTGACAAATGAGGAAATGGAGGCAAACCGACCTGAGTGACTTGCCCAGGGTCACACAGCTAGTAAGTATTTGAGGTGAGATTTGAACTCAGGAAGACAGGTTTTCCTACTCTATCCACTGTGCCTCTAGATCCCAGGCTACTGCCACTGCAAGCTCGATCTTTCTCTGGAGAATGAGTAACTTTGTCTTTTGGTAAAAGAATGTCAGGCAAGAGGGAGGTGGCTGGAGAGTTTTAGGGCAAGTAGGGGGATTCTGTTTTCTGTGCCCTAGTGCTTTTCCTTTGAGATTATTTTGTGTGTACATAGTTGTTTGCATGTTGTCTCTCACCATTAAAGTGTGCAAGAATCACGTTTTTGCTTTTGTTTGTATTCCCAGCATCCGAGAAATAGTAAGAACTTAATAAATACTTGTCGACTGACTTACTGACAGTTACCTATTTTGCTTATCCATGACCAGCCCTGAGCTCCAAGTGAGAGACCTTAGATGGCTACTAGGCACTTAGTAGGAAGGTTCATCAAAGTGCAAAGGAAAGGGAGCTAATGGTGGGAGGACAGAGACCCTTCAAACAAATTTCATCTACTTCAGGATAGTCAGGAAATCTGGTCAAAATGGGTCAGGTCCACCCAGACCCCCAGGTGGAAATGGGTTCACAAAACCAGTAATAGGGTTCTTACTTGGGTCAAACAGTACCACACATCGTGGGGAGTGAGGAGCCTGAACCTGGGGACTGGGGCTGATTTATTCTAGTGGAGAGTAAGATGGAGAGAAGAGGGGAGATTCCTGGGGATTGGCAGGAGTTGATATTCAAACTCTTCCATGGCAGGGTTTTGGGCTGTTACCACTGATCTTATTCTGTCTGAGTGACTCAGGGGTTTCGAACCTCCCAAGGGCTTTGTTCAGTGGAGTGGGGAGGCTAATGAGATCATTACAGATGCCCATTACTTAATGGGAGTCACTTCTAGTACTGTCTAGAAGGCATATATATAAGTAGCAACCATTGGGCTATAAAAAGGGTCATAATTCTTATTATCTAATGATAATCTTAACCTCTACTGCCTCAATTTCCTCAACTGTAACACTGGGAATAATCATAGTACTACCTCCCAGGATTGCTGTGAGGGTCAAATGAGATATTATTTATAAAGCACTTAACACAGTGCCTGGCACATAGTAGGCATTTAATAAATGTTCCCTTTGTACCTTTGTTCCCTTTTCCCCTAATTCCTGCTGCCTCTTTGTGATTGTGTTTCATTAAGTGCTTTCTGTTTGAAATTATGAGTCTGCTGGCTTGGCCTGGGAAAATCATGGAAAAGTGGCCTCAGAGCTATAATGTGAATAGGTGGCAGACCCTAACAGAACTATGACTCTCCATACACACACTCCATACTCCCAGTAAACTACTTAAGAGCAAAGTGCCATTAAAAAAAAAATCTTTGTATCCTCAGCACCTAGCATAGTACCTTGAATATTTTGTTGTTGAGTCATTCCATTTGTTTGCAAGTCTCTGCGACCCCTTTTGGGGTTTTCTTGGCAGTGATACTGGAGTGGTTTGCCATTTCCTTCTCCAGCTCATTTTACAAATGAGGAAGCTGAGGCAAACAAGGTTAAGGTTACATTGTGAGGAACCTCCAAGTGTGAGGGTCGTTTTGAAATAGTGAGTATCGTGGGCATTCACTATCTGTGTGACTCTGGCTAGTTCTATTTTCTCATTTGTGAAATTATGATATTGGACTGGATAGACTCTTCTGGCTCTAATTTTATGTTTCTACGGTGTCAAGAGGGACCACTCCTCCCCATGACAATTCCTACTTCTCCACACCAGGCAGCGGATCCATTGATCCAGATGAGCTTCGCACAGTGCTGCAGTCTTGCCTGAAGGAGAGCACCATCTCTCTGCCAGAAGAGAAGCTGGATGACCTCACCCTGGCCCTTTTTGAATCAGCTGACAAAGACCATAATGGCTCTATCACCTTTGAGGAGCTCCGGGAGGAATTAGACAATTTTCCTGAGGTCATGGAAAATTTAACCATCAGGTACTATTGACTTCCTTTGAGCAGATGCATCCATGTTGGACCAAACTGTCCCTCACCAAATGCCCTCACCCTAGCCTGAATTTGATGCTAACACATCACTCACTGCCTACATTTCAGTTCAGTTACTATTCCTCTTTGGCTTTCTGTGTATATTGTACTATGTTTATGCATGTCATTCTGTCTATCTTAGACCAAACAATTAATCAATCAAAAATCTCTTACTAGGCACTTACCATGTGCCAAGCACTGTGCTAGGCACTGGGGATATAGATACAAAAGTGAGACAGCCCCTTCCCTTCAAGGAGCTTACACTCTACTGAGTGGGGACACGACAACTAAATATGGGATGTGTGCAATATAAATACATAGTGATTACATAGTAATCATAGTAACAACTGAGTCAGGAAAGGCCTTTTGAAGGAGGTCCTTATCTAAGAGTTTAGTTTAAGTGCTAAGCTTAGGGGAGGCTAATGGGGTCATTATAGAAGACTAGCAATTAATTGGAACCAAGTCTAGTACTCCCTAAAAGGCACATGTGTAAGTGGTAGCCACTGGGATATATAAATGTCAGAATTCTTACTGTCTGATGCTAGTCTTAACTTCTATCTGCCTCAGTTTCCTTGACTGTAAAATGGGAAAAATAATAGCAGCTACTTCCCAGGATTGTTGTGAGGATCAAATGAAATAATATTGGTAAAGCAATTAGCATGGTGCCTGGCACATAGTAGGCACTTAATAAATGTTTGTTGACTGACTGATTAAGCTCCTTCACAGCAGGTACATTACACTTTGTACGGCTGTTGAACTATCAGGCCAAATACAATCAGGTTCATAAATTAAGACTTTCTGACAATGGCGATGATCATGATCTATTCTCATTGGATCATCTCCCTGGGTGTTTGGTAGATCACCCTATTCATGGATTTGTAAGCTTTGTAGATTATCTGCCCCATTGTTTACTAATCTTATAAGTAATCCATTTTGTATTTTTTCCCAATCTGTGGGTTATCTATTATGTAGGCACAGTGGATAGAGTAATGAGACTATAATCAGGAAGACCTGAGTTCAAATGCCATCTCAGACACTTACTGGTTGTGTGACCCTGGGCAAGTCATTTCACCTCTATTGCCTCAGTTTCCTCAACCATAAAATCGAAATAATAATAGCATCTATCTCCCAGGGTTGTTGTGAGGATCAAATGAAATAATATTTGTAAAGTTCTTGGCATATAGTAGGATTTTAAAATGTTCCCTTCATTTATTCCTTCCTTTCTTCCTTTAGCTTTTCCCTTCCATGTAGATGATATATTGTATAAATTTTATCCATTTTGTTGTTTGTTCACTTTGATTGTTATTCATGGTATGCCAAGGTTTTCTTTCTCTTTCTCTCTTATTCCCTAAACTCACTTACCAGCCTTTCCCCCATAAGTAGGTGCCCTCTCCATTGAACGAAACCACTTCTCCTTTTCACAGTGCAGCCAGTTGGCTAAAGCCTCCATCCTCCAAGAAAAGGCCACGGATGCCTCGCTACCTGACCTTAGCATACTGGCATAACAACATTGGCAAGCTGGCCATTCTGGCAGCCTACATCGGGGTCAACATCCTGCTCTTCACCCTGGCAGCCCTGAAGTACCAGGCCTTAGGAGCCAGTGTCATGGTGGCCAGAGGTGGTGGCCAATGTCTGAATTTCAACTGCAGTTTCATTGTGGTGAGGACTACATGGATTTTCCTCCAGGGGGTCATGGGAAAGTAGTTGGATGGGAAGGAATGGAGAGGAAAGGCATTAGGACTCCAGGATCACTCAGCTGCCTGAACTGAGGTCTTTTCCTTACTTTGGAGAAGTACACCAAGTCATTTACTCAGGGATGAAGAGTTGGGGATGGTAGAAAGTTAAGGGAAGATGGGGAAGTACGCCCCTAAATACAGATAATTCTCAATTATCTATGGTCACTAGAAACAGTGAATTAAGTTTTCAAAAAATTCTAAGTTTAATTTTGTCAGTAACCTCACTTCCTCTTTCCAGGTATGTCTTTGTTTTATGTATTGTTTTTAAATTTCCCATGTTATTATTATGAATTTAACATGCATCAAGAAACATTATTTCCTTATGTAATGTGCAGAAAAAGAAGATTGTATATGATACCATGAACCTGTATTATATGCAATTTTTTAAAAAGTACATGTTAAGTTTAACTTGGTAATTCCATCACTGTCCTGTTTATCTATGTCCTCTTCTGAACTTCTTTCTATTCTTTTCTGTGTATTTTTTAATGTTTCATTGATGCTTTTCTTTCTGTTTTTTCTTCTCTTTTTTGCATAATTACTACTATCCACCCTCCCCTTAGGATTTGTTGTTGCTGTTCAATCATTTCGGTCACGCCTGACCCCATTTTGAGTTTCCTTGGCAAAGATACTGAAGTGGTTTGCCATATTCTTCTTCAGTTCATTTTACAAATGAGAAAACTGAGGCAAACAGGGTTGAGAGATTTGCCCAGGGTCAGAAAGCTAATAAATGTCTGAAAACTCAGAAAGATGTCTTCATAACTCCAGGTCAAGTGTTCTGCCCATTGCTTCACCTAACTTCCTATCCCGACGAGGATTTTCCACCTCAAAACATACAAAAACAAAAAACCTCCCTTGTAACAAATAGGTGTAGTCAACAAAACAAATTAACACACTGGCCAAAATTGAGAAGCAAGCCTCATTTTGTGCCTCTAGTTTATCGCCTTTCAGCCAAGACAGTCTTCATTTTGGAAGGTGAGATGAAATCAAGGGTAACAATATTATGGAAAAACTGTACTTCAGACGTTGCAGAACAGGTTTAGGCCTGTTTCCATCTCTGCTACTTACTTCCAGGATGACTTTGGGAAAGTCTCAGGGAATCAGTTAGGGGTTAGACTAGTGGCCTTTGGGGTTCCTTATAACTCTAGAGTTGTGATTACATGTGTGCATATTTGCACGTTGCCTCGTAACATGAATTTCTAAGATTCATATATCTTCTGAGTAAAATTTGAGTAGATGGAGAAGAGCCTTGGAAGGTATCCCAAGGATGCAGGGTGACATGAGCAATGGTCCAAGTTGTCAGGCAGCAGTTAGGAGACCAGCTTGTCTAGAATAAAGATTTCATGTTGGAGAGTAATGGGGCAGGAGGTGGGGGGTATGATTGGGAAGGTAGAGTGAGCTCATACTACCTGCATAGGATAAAGAAGAGCTAAGGAATTTTGAATGTCAAGCAGAATCATTTGAGTTTTATCTTGTAGATTCTGGGGACTTAGTGTCAGTCCCTGAGCAGGGAACAGAAGTGCAAAAAACGGTACTTTCAGAACCTGGCTGGCCTAGGAAGATGCAATAAGGCTATTTCCAGAGAGAATTGCAAATGGAACAGAAAGAGGCACAGGTGTGGAGCCATCATTGCTCCTTTTTTTTTTCTCTCCCCTCGCCACCCCATGGCCTTCCTAGGTGCTGATGCTGCGGCGTTGTCTCACGTGGCTAAGGGCCACATGGTTGGCCCAAGTTTTCCCGCTGGACCAGAACGTTGAGTTCCACCAGCTCGTCGGCTATGTGGTATTTGGATTTACGCTCATACACACCATTGCCCATGTGGTCAACTTTGGTAAGTTTCTGCTCCTAAGAACTCAACCTACCCAACCAAGACCACCTAGAATCTCATCATGACCCTCTCCTCCCTCCTCACTTTGCTCTGTTTTTAAAATGAAGGTCTAACCACGTCACTGTTCCACTCGATAAACTCTGGGGGCTCCGTATTACCTCTAAGAGCAAATGTGAAGGCCTCTGTTTTGACATTTAAATCCCTTATGACCTGCTCCAAATCTGTTTCTTCACCCTTATTACACATTATATCTATTCCATGGTCCGTCTGAACTGGCCTTATCAATATACCCTATATACAACATTTGATTTCCTTTCTGTGTTCCTTTGCATTGGCTTTCCCCTATGCCTGAAATGAACTCCCTCTGTCTTTCAGAATCCCTACTTTCCTTCAAATGTACCTCCTCATGAGGCTTTTACTGATCTTCTCCCTTAGCTGTGAGAGCCATCCCCTCCCATCACCTTGTAGATACTCTGTACAAGCCTAAAGCCAAGTCTCACAATGACCAAGTGGGGTTTGGCTTGAAAGCCAGAGTGATTTTGATTTAAGGTAAAATGTAAAATGTAGCCTGGTCATTGTTGGGCCCAGATTGACTCAGAGTGGATGTAAATAAGAATTGTTTCTGTTTCCTCCAGAAGCCCTGAGAATATTCCCCTCCCAGTTTGATTTTTTTTTTTTGGATTAGGTTAGAAAGGCCATTCTTTGCTTCATTTTTTTTTACCTAGCTTTAATCACTGAATGGGCATTGCCTCAGGCAAACTGAGAGATGCCAAGGACTTTAGCTTTAGAAGGCCAAGATCTTCCACTGCATCTGGGACCATGTCCAGTCATCCTGATGTGTATCCAGACCCAGATGGCTCTGGAGAAGAAAGTGAGGCCCTCCCTCACTTAAATCCAATTCACTTGTAAGTTATGGCATCACCTACCTGATGTCATGGTCCTCTTTGAGAAAGAAGAACAAACAACAATAACAAGGGGGTGGGTGATGAGCCGTAGCTCATCTCCTAAGGGATGAGGCAGAGGGACTTTTCTGCATTTCTGTTATCATTATTCTTGGACAAGCTGACAGAATGCCCTGGCAGCACAATATAGCCTCAGTGTAGGGTGGCATGGGCTGGGATATTTACGGAGGAGGAAGAGTTATCACTGATTGCTAGCAGAGATCTCAATAGGCATGGCCCACCCAACTTGGCTGACCTGATTGGGAAGAAATCACAAAATTGTGACTTAGGTCAGGTAAAAGTACAAAGATTAGTTGAAGGAACAGGAGGGTTATTAGACTAGAGAAGAGAAGACTGAGGAGGGAAAGGTGGATTTGGGGTGTCTTCAAGAATGTGAAGGCTTATTATGTGAAAGAGGGGTTAATATGTTTCTGTTAGTTCCAGGGGGGGCAGAACTAGGGGCAGTGGGTTGATATAGCAGGGAGGTAGATTAAGCATAGGTGTTTTTAAAAAAAGCTTCATAACAGTCAGATCTACCCAAAAATGGAATGGGCTTTATCAGAGGGGAGTGAATTCTCCAACAGTGGAGGTCGTCAAGCAAGTGATGACCGTTAGTCAGGGATATTGAAGGAGGGGTGAGGAAGGGGGGATCCTGTTCAGTTGTGGGACAGACAAAATGGTTTCTGAAGTCTTTTCCAAATCTGAGATTCTATGATTCTAAGTCTGTTTTTTGATGCCATCTGCCTCCCCCTTTTCTTTTGGTTGCCTTTGCTCCTGCTTTCATCTCTCATTTCCTCCCCAGTGACAAGTGCCCCTGTGCTGCCCAAATCTACCCAGTCAAGATGCTAATGATTTCATGTATTCCCCTCCACTGAGGAAGGGGAGAGAATCATTTTAAAAAAGGAATCTAGAGATTACAAGGTATTGCCAAACCCTAAAGTGGTACAATGAAAAGAGTGTTAGTTCTGGAGGCAGAGGATCTGGGTCCAAATCTAGCCTCAGACACTTATTACCTGTTTGAACTGAGTATTTCTTTTTATATATATATATTTATGTTTATATATATAATGTATATATATATTAATATATATATATATAATTTCATTAAATACTTCCCAGTTACACATAAAATGTTTTTCATTTTTTAATATTTTAATATTTCTCTCTCTCCCTTTCCTCCCCTATGCCTTGAGAAGGCAAGCAATAGGATATTGATTATACATTAGAATTCATGCAAAACATACTTCCATATTAGCCATGTTGCAAAAGAAAACACACACACACACACGCACGCACGCACACACACCAACACCAACACCAACACCAACACCAACACCAACACCAACAAAAAAAATTAAGAAAGTAAAAAAAGCTTACTACACATTGTGTGAGGATCAACTTTGATAGACTTAGCTTTTCTCAACAATATCATGATCTAAGACAATATCAAGACTCATGATGAAAAATGCCATCTTGGGGGGGAGGGGAAGGAGGGAGAAAAAAATTGGAAATCAAACTCTTACAAATCTTAATGTTGAAAACTAAAAACAAATTTTAAAAAAATACTAAAAAATTTTTAAAAAGCTTGTTTCACCCTGTAGTCAGAGTTCATCACTTCTCTCTCTGGAGGTATATAACACTTTTCATTATGAGTCCTTTGGGATTGTCTTGAATCATTATCTTGATCAGAATAGCTAAGTCTTTTACAGTTGATCATCATTGCAATATTGCTTTTTGCAATGTTCTCCTGGTTCTGCTCACTTCACTTTGCATCAGTTCACGTAAGTTTTCCCAGGTTTTCCTGAAACCATCCTGCTTATCATTTCTTATTGCACAATAGTATTCTATCACAATCATATACCACACTTTGTTCAGCCATTCCAAAATTGATGAGCATATCTCAAATTCCAATTCTTTGCCAGCACAAAAAGAGTAGTTATACATATTTTTTGTACATATAGGTCCTTTTCCTTTCCAAAGAGAGCTATCTTTGTACAGAGAGAGCATGTCCTTTGGTCATACCATTGAGGTGGTAACATCCTTTGTCCATGGTCAAGGCTGGCTCTGCATCTACAGAACATTAAGAATTGTAGACAATCAGACAGCCGAGGAGAACATGTGTCCTGCACATACAATGATATTTACCAGGAGGATTTGTCAACCCTTTCTGCAAGTTTCTCCTGCTTCCTCCAGCTTTAATGACATGAACTGTGTGTAATCACATCTAGGATATAGATTTCCAATAAACTTATCATCAGTGTGAAGGCCTGTATTACTTAGAAGGTCAGTCCTGTTGCTGGTCACTATATTGAGGCTCCAACAAGCGCAACCATATTTTAAAAATCTATTTCCATTGCACTGATATGTAGAGATGCCAGCTCTGAGCTGTGCTGGAGGAAGAATGGGCCTAGCCTCTGCCTTCCTCAATTTATAGGGATATTCTGGGGATTCTGAAGCCAACACTAAGCATTTTACTGGGTGTGGTACAAGAGGCCAGTGGCCACACATACTGTTGGCCAAACAACCCTGCAGATGAAAGTTAGTTTGTTTGTGTTTTTCATTCCATTTTTTTGGGCCTACAATTTCTTTTTAATCCTATTTTATTGACATGTTTTGCTTTTATACTACCTTCCTCTCTAAATATCTCTGTGAGATAGCGAGCTTTTCCTTGTAACAAAGAATAAAAAAGGAAGAGGTGGGAAAACTATTTCAGCAAAACTAACCAACTCATCAGCCAAGTCTCACAACTATTATAACATCCATGCCTGTAGCATCTTCTGCAAAGAAAGGGGAGTGGCATATTTTCTCAGCTCTTCACTGGAACTGTGTGGTCATTATAATTATCCAATTTATTAATTAATTTATTATTTTTTCCATTTACATTGTTATAGCCATTGTATACATTCACAGACAATACGATCTTAGATTTGCAGCTGAAGGGAACCTTAGAGACCACCAATCTCCTTATTTTACAAATCAGGAAACTGAGACCCAGGGAGATTAAATTACTTAACTGAGGTCATAGAGGTATCAGAGGTAGGACTTGAGCCCTAGTCCTCAGATTTCAAATCCGTTGTTCTTTCCACTATATCGTTCTGCTAAATCTTAAGATTTTTTTGTGTTGTGGGCCCTTTGAGCAGTCTGATGAAACCTATGGACTCTTTGAAACAATGTTCTTTTTAGGCAATTGGGGTTAAGTGACTTGCCCAGAGTCACACAGCTAGTGAGTGTCAAGTGTTTGGTCTGAGGCCGGATTTGAACTCAGGTCCTTCTGACTTCAGGGCTGGTGCTCTATCCACTGTAACACCTAGCTGCCCTGAAACAATGTTCTTAAATAATTGAAGAAAATGCTAAACTTCAGTCAGTCAAGAAATATTTGTTAAGTGCCTACTATGTGATAGGCACTGTATTGGGGACTTTTTTAAAACAGTCAAAAGATGACGTCACTGTCCTCAAGGAGCTTATAATCTAATGGGGCAGACAACAAGCAAACAAATACGTACAAACAAGCAACATACAATACAAATTGGATATAATTAACAGAGGGAAGGCACTAGAATTAAGAGGGGTTAGGAAAGGCTTCCTATAGAAGATGGGATTTTAGAGTCATTTTTTACAGGTATTTGGAGGTGTTTGGGGGAGAGCTCAAGCAAGTCACTGCTTGCACGCCATCATCTTGGCTCTGCCCCCCAAGGTGGGATTTTAAATGGAACTTAAATGAATCCAGGGAAGCCAGGAGAGGGAAGGGAGTGGGAAGAGCATTCCAGGTATGGGGTACAGGGGTACAGAGAAAATGTTCAGAGCCTATATATGAAGTGTCTTATTCATGGAACAGCCAGGAGACCAATGTCACTAGATCAAAGAGTACATGTTGGGGAGTAAGGTATAAGAAAACTGGAAAGGTAGCAGGAAGCTGGGCTATGAAGAGCTTTGAACTTCAAACAGATTTTTGTGTTTGATCTTGAAAGAGATAGGAAGAGTTTATTGAGTTCGTGAATGACCTGGTCAGACCTGCACTTTAGGAAAATCCCTTTGGTAGCTGAATGAAGGATGGGAAGAGATTTGAAGCAGGTTAATGGGAGAAAAAAATATGTAATTTTTTCCCCATCCAAGTTCACAGAGCCCTTAAAATCTATTCAAGGACCTCAGGCTCAGAACCCTTGAAAACATGAAATATTTTGCTGGTTCTGCTTCTTTTGCTTGGTAACAATTCATATTGGCCTTCTTATGTGTCTCTTAATGTATCAAGTTTGTCATTTCTTATGGTGAAGTAATATTCTACATTTACATACAAGTTGTTTGGCCATTCCCTCACTGGTAGGCAATTTTTCTGTTTCCAGTCCTTTGCTACCACAAAAAGGTGCCATTATGAATATGATGGTGCAATACAGGATCTTCTTGTCTTTGACTTCTTTTGAGTATATGCTTAGGAGTGGGATTGTTAGCTCAAAAGATATGGACATTGTTGGCACTTTTGTATTTTAGTATAATTTGACATAGCTTTCTGGAATGATAAGAATAATTTTCAGGCCCATCAGCAAGCATTAAATATCTGCAGGTTTATTTTTAAAAGCAGAAAAGACAGTTGCTCATGACCACTTGCCCTTTCTTACCAGAGTTGCTGCCCCCTACGTCATGATTATTTACTATAGTATTTTTTCTTCCAGCTTTGCTTAAAAGCAGCGTTGTAGGCCCGGCTTGTAAACTAGGCAAGACTAGAGTTTCCAAAAATCAGTGTTATCTAAAAGTGGAATGGGATGTCCTGGGCAATAGTACATTTGTCCTAATTGATGATCTTCAAGCAGAAGCTGAACTTGGTGGGCGTGTTATAACAGGAGTATGGATTCGAGTGTGGAGTGGACTTGATCAAGCTATCAATCAGTGAAGATGCATTAAGTGCCTTCTATGAGGAAGACAGTGTGCTAGCCACTGTAGATACAAAGATAACAACAGTAACAAAACAATCTTTAAAGTAGCTTACTTTCTGTAGAGGGAGTAAACATTTACAATGTAATTATATACGAAATAAATGCATACAAAATCATGTCGATCCTTATATTCAGTTCTGGAAAGCACAGTCCCCATGTGCCTCATAGGACATGAAATAAGGACAGAAGTGAATAATAAATCAACAGGCTATGATTATAGCCCACGTTTCAAGTGAGTATGGTTTCATTCCTCCTTTTTGCCAGAGTAGTTCAGGGGCAGCTAGGAGGCACAGTGGATAGACTGTCAGGCCTAGTCAGGAAGATTCATCTTCTTGAGTTCAAATCTAGCTGTGTGACCCTGGGCAAGTCACTTAATCCTGTTTACCTCAATTTCCTCATCTGTCCAATGAGCTGGAGAAGAAAATGGCAAACCACTCTGGTACCTTTGCCAGGAAAACCTCAAATGGGGTCACGAAGAGTCAGATATGTCAGAAAAGTGACTGAATAACAAAAACATTCCTAATTCTGATAGCAAAGGCTTGGACAAAGTCTCTTTGCAGTAGGGGTGGGAAGATTGAGAACTTCGACAAAGATGCCATCTGCCTGCTCAGGTTGGATCTCTTCAGCTTGCCATGGCTGGGATGCCTCCTCTTCCTGTCCTGCTTTCCCCACATCACTCCATGGCTGGCTGGACAGCCCAAATCCTTGCAGCTACTGGACTCTGCTACTGTAGGCTTTCCATCCTTTGGGGCTGGTCTCTTTCTCCTTCCAAGCAACAGCTGTGCCATCAGCAACCAGCCTTATAGAAAACAGAATTCTTACTCTCCTCAAATGAGCACTTGTACTCTGGGGTCCCATATCCTGAGAAATGTAGTTCTTTTTTCTCTTGGATATTACTGTTACATATAGATAAGGAAACTGAGGCTCAAGAATTTATTCATCTTGCTCATGGTCACATAGTTATTATTAATTTTTTTTTAAATAATTAATTAATTTAATTTTTGACTAGGTAAAAAGGCCATTCTCTGCTTCAATTCTTATTAAGCCTCAGTCACTGAATGGACGTTGCCTCAGTCAAACTGAGATCTATTAAAGGCCTTAGCTTGAAAAGGCCAAAGTCCCCCACTGCATCCAGGGCCATCTGCAGTCATCCTTATCTCTATCTTGCCACTGGACCCAGATGACTTGGGAGGAGAAAGTGAGGCTGGTGACTTTGCACAGCCCTCCCTCACTTAAATTCAATTCACTTGCATGTCATGGCATCACCTCCCTTGATGTAATGGTCTTCTTTCAGGACGAAGGACAGATGGATCACATAGTTATCAAGTACCAGAGGTAAGATATGGCCTCATGCAGAAGCAATCATAGAATGAAGGGTACTGGTTAGTAGAGGTAGACAGTCTCAACCTGAGCAACAGACAGCATTCAACCAACATGCCTCTGATGTGTCCAGCTGCATTCTATATGTTGTGAGGGATGAAAAAGAGAGCCATACTCTTGACCCTTCAGGAGTTAGCATTCTAGTTGTGGAAACAATGTTAATACATGTGGAACAATTAGAATATGGAAAGACAGTGCATAATGAGGTGCTAAATTAAATATAACTAAATGGAGAAACATTGAAATGCTTACTATGTATCAACCACTTGGCTGAGCCCTCAAGGCACAAAAAAGAAAATTGAGACAATCATTGTTCTCGGGGTGGTCACATTCTAATTGGAGGGGATAACACAAAAAGGAAAGTTTGTGTTTATGTTCAGTTCACGGAAAACGGAAAAGTCAAGTAGAACTTAAAAACCTTAAGTTGCAGAGCAGATATCAAGGTCCAGATGATCTTGGAGGCAAATGGTTGTTTCACTACAGAAAGGATAGTGAGTTCCAGAGTGCTCTGGGATATCTCTAGCACAAGTGGGGATCAGCTTGCAGTTGGCAGTGGGCATCCTGCACCTAGTGGGAACTGGGCAGGAGGGCAATGAGGGTTGTCAGGGGAAAGAAAAAGTCAGTGGCTCCCTTCAGTAGCAGCAGGTGTTTCTGGTCTCTCTTCTTGTCACCCATTGGTGGGATGGGGTCCAGGTTGGGAAACAAAATGACAACATTTTCAAGATATCCTTTTAAATATCCAAGGCAAGCCAATATAGATGATACTAATTAATTGTGTGATCTTGAGGAACTCGTCTTCTTCAGGTTTCCATTTTCTCACTGTAGGATTCAAGAGCATAGGCAAGTGGAGGGCAGGAGGTGGCCCTATACATGCCTGAATGATTCTTAATGGAAAAAATTCGACAAACCTGTCTATTGTGTGCCCAGCTCTGAGCTGGATACTATGAGGGATAGAAGAGAGACACATTCTAGACTACAAGATCTCCACAGTCCCTTTCCAATATTAGCATTTTATGACCGGGAATCTAAATGTTATGTAGGAGGAAGAAAGTTCAGTGGTTTAGAAAACTGATGAGTCTACTGGTAGCTGCTGGCCCTCAGATTCCAGAAGAAACTACCGTAAGATTTTGGTTTTGATCTACTATCCATAGTTGTCCCAGGTCCCCAGAGGGATCATCTATCTGTCTGTTTTCTCTATTCTGGGATTATTTTTTTGTCTAGTGCGTCTTTCTCAATTGGAGGACAGCCCCTTCCAGTTCTGGGAATATCTCCTCACCACCCGGCCTGGCATTGGCTGGGTACATGGCACAGCTTCCCTCACGGGCATTGTTCTGCAGCTTCTCATCCTCATCATGCTTGTGTGTTCCTGCTCCTTTGTCCGGAGGAGTGGGCACTTTGAGGTATGATGTACCTCTATAGCTTTCTTTCCCATCCCCCCCCCATAATCTACCTTCTCAGGACCATATCTGAGGCTATCTGCGCTCCCCAACCCCCACCCCATTCTATATCCTGTATTCTAGTTACCTACCTTTTGCTCTTCCCCAGGGTTGTATTCCAGTGAACAAAAGACTCATAAGTATGTTTACATGCTATTTACATGCAATTTGCATGCACTACTTTGAACAGCACAATTTTCATGCTCAAGTAAAAATGCTTGGGCTTTGGCTAGATTCTCAATTCTCTCAATCTCCCTCATCCACTCAAAATCACTGTCAGGTCCTTTCTACCTATGGTAGGCAGTAAAAGCAAAAAAAAATAAATGATTTGCAGGGTCTGAGAAGGAAAGGAAGGAGAGTGAGGGTCTTTTTGGAGAGTTTCTGGTTACTTCCAGGTCAGGACTCCGTTCTCCAGTCAGCCAATACTATCCCCAAGAGACCGGATAGAACTGTTTCTACCCTACTGAAAAGGACAGATGGGGTAGGGTCCCCCACAAGGCTTGAGCCCTCTGGCTCATTGTGGGGATCCTCACCCTACTCTAGGCAACAAGTCAAAGAAACACTGTCTCTGTTGCTAATCCTTTGGCTGAAATTATTGCTCCTAGTCAATGAATGGCCCTACTGGCCATAGCTGTCCTGATTCTGGCAACCCATCAACAAAAAGAAGCCATTGGCACTGAATAGCTAGGCCAAGACTCTGCCCCACTGCCTGTCCAAGCTTCCCCAACCCCAACAGGGCAGCACAGGACAGTTCCTTTCTGAATTTGAAGCTGACTCCCAGCCATTATCTCTCTCTGTGTTCTTACAGGTGTTCTACTGGACCCACCTCTCCTACATCTGGGTCTGGGTGCTGCTCATCATACATGGGCCCCATTTCTGGAAGTGGCTGCTGGCCCCTGGTCTCTTATTCTTCCTGGAGAAAGTTGTAGGGTTGGTGTTGTCACGCATGGCGACCCTATGCATTGTGGAAGTCAACCTGCTCTCCTCCAAGGTGGATTGGACCTCCTCTGCTATACCCCTAGTCTTTTCTGTGCTACATCCCCAACCATCACCATAAAGATTTAAGGGAACAGAGGTTGGAAGAGGAAGGTTCAAGTGGGTTGGACTCAATGACCTCTAGGGTCTCTTCTAGCCCTAAATCTATGATCTAATCCTTCTATAAATAAGAGAAAGATGTCGGTCATTACATAATTAAATATTTGATTATAAGGCACAGACTACAAATGATACAGGGGTTCTCATAACACTAATAGTTTGCATTTTATAGACCTGTACAGAATTTGTGAAGTTTGTCACATACATTGTCACAACTGGTCTTCACAATAAGTTGATGAGGTAGCTGTTATTATTATCCCCATTTTATAGATGAAGAAACTGAGGCTTTGAGATTTCAGGGCCTTGCCCAGGGCCACATAGCTAGAAAGTGTCTGGGGGCACGTAGTAGGCACTTAACACACACATCTGTTGATTATCCGGGGCAGGATTTGGATCCAAGTTTTCGGATGCCAGGTCCAACACTATCCACGCCACCATGCTCCTATCTAAGAAGAGAGAGATCAGTGCAAGGTGTGGTAGCCAGGGTCTGCTTCATGAAGGAAGTGTATGTTAAAAAGATAGTGAAACAGTTTCAAGTCTTTCCTGAAAGTAAGTGAGATGATGTTTTTTGTCACCGTGCTCCACTTCAGCTTCTGCCTTGATCCTTTAGTGTCCTTGCTCCCCATGTTTGCCTTCTCCCAGTTAATAGATTAGCATTCTCCGTAACTAATACAGCACAATAGATAGAGCCTTAGATCTGGAATCAAGAAGACCTGAATTAAAATCTGGCCTTTGATACTCTCTAGCTAGGGGACCTCAGGCACGTCATTTAACCTCTGTTTTCCTCAGTTTCCTCAACTGTAAAATGAAAGGATTGGGCTCAACGGCCTCTAACATCCCAAAAGTCTTCAATTAGAATTCCCTCTCTACTTTCACTACCAGGAAACTCCCTTGCTTCTGTGGAATGCTTGTCTGACCTAATTTGTTTCCTCTATCCCCAGGTCACTCACCTCGTGATCAGTAGACCCTCTTTTTTCCACTACAAGCCTGGAGATTACATATACTTGAACATCCCAGCTATTGCCAAATATGAATGGCATCCTTTCACCATCAGCAGTGCTCCAGAGCAGGAAGGTAGGATGGGACTGTGTCAGGGACATTTGACCGGCCAATCACCGGCAAGACTGAGACTATGCACACCAAACTTTTACCTTAAAACGTTGACATGATTGTTTCTCTAATATAGTCTTGCTCACTCTGCCAATGGGAAGGTGTGAAACCAAGAAGCTTTCTTCTTTCTTAGTTGCCACTGCCCTCAGAGGTTAGGGTTCTTTCTCATGGTGACCACTCTCCCCTTATTTCCCATCTGTCTTCTTCAGGCTGGCCATCTGGAGTGAGACCAAAACTATCTGACTATAGGCAGAACCAGGATCATGTGTAGACAGAACAGGTGTCTGCCTATAGAAGGTGATTTCAGGGATTCTGGGAACGACTCTCTGCCCCCAAGTATCTCTCCTACCCACTGATTGATGTCTGAAATTAGAGCTTCATTCTCCCCTTTCTCCACTTATCTTTGGTTTTTCAGCTGTATTCCCTCATTCACTCCTGTTGGTACTAGAGCCTGGAATGATGATGATGATGATGATGATGTTGATAACAGCTAATATGAACGTATTGCTCTAAGATTTTCAAAGTACCTCATGTATATTATCTCACTCATTTTTCACAACAGTCTTGTGAGGTGGATGCTATTATTATCTCCATTTTATAGGTGCAAAAACAGATATTAAGTAACATGCCCAGGGAAGGTAGAAAAAGCTCTCACTCTGAAGTCAGGAAGACTTGAGTTCAAAACCTGTCTCAGACTCTAAACTGCGTAAATCATCTAACAGCTCTAAGCTTCAGTTTTTTCCATCCATAAAAAAAGAGATAATGATTTTTTTAAAAAATTCAATTTTATCATGAGTCCTTTAGAATTGTGGTGGGTCGTTGGGTTGATCAGTTACTAAGTCTTTCATAGTAGATTATCTTTATAATCTTTTGGTTACTGTGTAGATTGTTCTCCTAGTTCTGTTCACTTCATTTTGCATCATTTCATATGAGTTTTCCCACATATTTCTGAAACTATATCCTTCACCATTTCATACAGCACAATAGTATTCCATCACATTTATATGCCATCGTTTTTTCAGCCATTCCCCAATGGATGGACATCCCCTCAGTTTCCAATTTTTGCCAACACAAAAAGAGCTACTATATTTTTGTGCACATGGGGCCCTTTCCTTTAATTTTTTTAGGGTATAGACCTAGTATTACAGGGTTAAAGGGTATGCATAGTTTAATAGTTTCCTGTGCATAGTTCCAAATTGCTTTCCAGGTTAGACCGGTTCACAACTCCTCCAATAATGTATTAGTATATCTGTTTTCCCACCTCCCCTCCAGCATTTGTAGTTTTCCTTTTCTTCATCTTAGCCAATCATAAAGATGTGAGACTACCTCAGAGTTGTTTTAATTTTTGTTTCTTTAATTATTAGTGACTTACAGCATTTTTTCATATGATTATTGATAGCTTTTATTTCTTCCTCTGAAAACTACCTGTTCATATCCCTCGACCACTTATCAATTGGAGAATGTTCTTATTCTCATAAGTCTGGTTCAGTTCCCTATATATTTGAGAAATCAGACCTTTATCAGGGAAAATTGCTGCAAAGATTTTTCCCAGTTTTCTAATTTTCTTTTAATTTTAGCTGCATTTGTTTTGTTTGTGCATAAACTTTTAAATTTTAAGTAACCAAAATTATCCATTTTGTCTCCTGTGAATCTTTCTAACTCTTGTTTGATCATGAACTCATCCCCTATCCATAGATCTGACAGGCAATTTCTTCTGCGCTTCACTAATTTACTTACGATGTTACCCTTTATGTCTATATCATGTACCCATCTTGACCTTATCTTGGTATACAGTGTGAGATGGTATATACCTAGTTTCTGCTAGACTACTTTCCAGGAATTTTTATCAAATAGTGAGTTCTTGACCCAATAGCTGGGATATTTCTGTTTATCTCAAACAAAGACAATAATAACATCTATATGACAGGGCTGTGGTAAGGGTGAACCAATACAGTATATAAAGGCAGGTACAGTGGATATATCACTGAGCCTGGAATCAAGAAAATCTGAGTTCAAATCCAGCCTTAGACACTTACTAGCTATTTGACTCTGGACAGGTCATTTAACATATTTTGCTTCAGTTTCCTCAATAGGGATAATAATAGCACCTATCTCCCAGATTTGTTGTGAACATCAAATGAGATAATATTGTAAAGTATTTAGCACAATGCCTGACAAATAGTACTCATTATATAAATTCTAGTTTGTATTATTATTATTACTATTGTATAAGGTGATTTACAAACCTGAAAGTATTATATAAATACTACTTATCATTATCAGTATCATCATTTTTATTATCTACAACATCAGATTATTTCTCAAGTTGCTGGAAATCCAACTGTCCTTTTTAACAGATATTAGAGGCCTATTTACCCCTTACTAAAACAGTGACTTCAATCTAAATGGTACTAAATAGAAGTAGATTGAGGAATAATGCATGCATGCATACATGAAGGAATGAATAGTCACTTAGTTCAACATTTAGTACCAGGTACCATTTCTATAGTATATGGTAGTCTGACTAGTGTCACTTCACTGCCTTCCTACTCCCTACCCCACCCCCATGCAATGGGAAGCCATACAGCTATCCCTTCCACATCATATGGATTAAGTGTATAGTGCCCCCACGATCTGGAAAACGCAAGCAAAATTTTTTGGCCTTCCCTGCATACCAGAGAAAAAGTCTGATTTTTTTTTCTTTTTCTTTTATGGAGTATTTACAGTACTTTCTTATAAAATCTGGTTGATATTATATAATAATACTGATAATTTTACTTTCTTCTTTCTTATTAAAAATAGAATTAACCAATAGTTTATGTATTTTTTCATAAGAACAGCTCCTCATTTTATTTATTAGTTTAGTGATTTTCTTACTTTCAATTTTATTCATCTCTACCTTGATTTTCAGGATTTCCAATTTGGTGCTTAATTGGGTTTTTTTTAATTTGTCCTTTTTCCAGTTCTTTTTTAATTGCTTGCCCAATTCATTGTTCTGTTCACTTTCTATTTTATTGATGTAAGCATTTAAAGATGTACATTTTCCCCTAAGTACTACTTTGGCTGCATCTAATAAGTTTTGGTATATTGTCTCATTGTTGCCATTCTCTTTAATGAAATTATTGATTGTTTCTGTGATTTGTTCTTTTACTCACTCATTCTTTAGGTTTAGATTATTTAGTTTCCAAATAATTTTAATCTATGTTTTCATGGCCTTTTATTGAATATAATTTATTGTATTATGGTCTGAAAAGAACGCATTTAATATTTGGATTTCTGCATTTGGTTGTAAGGTTTTTATTCCCTAATATATGGTCAATTTTGTGATGGTGTCATTATAGCTAAGAAGAAAGTATACTCTTTTCTATTGCCATTCAATTTTCTGCAGAGGTCAATCATATCTAACTTTTCTAAAATTTTATTCATCTCCTTAACTTCTTTCTTGCTTATTTTATGGTTAGACTTGTCTAGTTCTGAGAAGATAAAGTCTTCCACTAGTATAGATTTTGTTTTATTGTTTGTTCATTTTTTGATGTCTCATGGAGTTATTAGCTTCTATTTACCCAATTCTAGTTCTTCAGTGAGTTTTTGTACCTCTTTTTCCATTTGGCCAATTCTGCTTCTTAAGGAGTTGTCTTCAGTGGGTTTTTGTGCCTTTTTTTTTTAAAAAAAAAACTATATAACTTTTTCTGTTTTTTAAGATTTTATTTTCTTCAGGGGCAGCTAGGTGGCACAGTAGATAAAGCAGTGACCCTGAAGTCAAGAGGACCTGACTTCAAATCTGGCCTCAGACCAAACACTTGACACTTACTAGCTGTTTGACCCTGGGCATGTCACTTAACCCCAATTGCCTTAAAAAATAGATTTATTTTCTTCAGTATTTTTGTGCCCCTTTTACCAAACTGTTGACTCTCTTTTCATAATTTTCTTCATCACCCTCATTTCTTTTCCCAGTTTTCCCTCTACCTCTCTTATTTGATTTTTAAAATCTGTTTTTTTTTAACTCTTCCAGGAGTTCTTGTTAGGTTTGTATCCAATTTACATTTTTCTTTGAGGCTTTGCTTGCAACCACTTTGATATTGTTATCTTCTTCTGGGTTTGTGTCTTGTTCTTCCTTGTCACCAGAGTAACTTTTTGTGGTCAGGTTCTTTTGTTGTTGTTGTTGTTGTTGTTGTTGTTTGCTCACTTTTCTGGCCTTTTTCTGGACATTTAACTTTATGTTAAAATTGGGCTTTGCTCTCAGGGTGGAGACAGCATTGTTCTAAGCTTCAGGCCTTTCTTGCTGCTGTTTTCAGAGCTAGCTTTTGGGTTTTGGTGTTTCTAAGGTGGCATGATCTAGGGAGAGGTGTGATCACTGCTCTCCTGGCTTGTACTGTGGCTTTTACCCAGAAAGAGACCTTGTTCCTCTGTGACTACCAGCACTAGCACTCCTCCTGACTGTGACCAGGTCCCTCACTCTCCTGAAGCCTCAATTGTTAGTGTTCCCTTCTGTCTTAGAACTGAGATCAGAGTCCCTACTCCCCCATGGGTAACCACAACGACTCCTCTCCACCCTGGAACCATGACCCAGGGCCCTTGTTCCACAGCAGCTGTGAGTGCTACTGTCCCTAGGACTGCAACCTGGAACTGCATATGGCCAATACAATAGGGTCCTGAACTCGGTGCCAGTAAAGGGTTCCCTGAAATCTCCTTCCAATCAGTTATCTGATCCCCTCACTGTCCGTTGGCTGAGAGCTCCCAAAGCTGCTGCTGCCACCAGTGCAGTTACCTCCAGAGAGCATCCTGAGCTGTGTGGTCTGCCCTGAACTCTAGGCCTGCCTGACCACCACACTGGTGAGACAGAACTTTCCTGGTGACCTCCTAAGTTGTCTTGTGCTGGAAAATTGTTTCACTTGACCTTTTGTTAGTTCTGTCGATCCAGTATTTTGTTTGAAGCATTATCTTAGAGTTATTTTGAAGGGAATTTGGGGGAGCTCAGCTGAGTACTTCTCTACTCTGCCATCTTGGCTCCTTAAATTTTTCTATAGCATTTATCACAGCGCCTATCACATAGGAAGTGCTTAATAGATGCATATTTATTTTCTTTCTTCTTTTCTGCGAAATTCAACTTGACCTCTCTTCCTTTCTGATTTCATTCCCTTCCCAGGCACCATCTGGCTACACATCAGATCTCAGGGACAGTGGACAAATAGGTTGTACGAATACTTCAAGGCTTCTGACCCTATTTGTTTTGGTGTCAAGAGGCTCACACAGAGCCTGAAGTTCAGAAGGAGTCAGAGGAAGCTCCAGGTAGGTGACTGAAGGATAATGGAGTCTTTCCTCAAAAGCCATGGGTCCCATCCAGAGGTATGCTGGTACCAGCTTTCTGGGCCAAAAAAAAATGTACTTACGAACTCTTTCAGAATTTAATCTACATTATTAACATTTTCCATCACTTTCTTAAGCCCAGGCAATCAACAAAACAATAAACCAAGCCCTGGTTTATAGTGTTTGCAGATTTCCAAGGTGTAAATGCTTACATTGAACATTTAAGAAGCAGGTTAGAGCTAACTCAGCACACCTAGGCCTAGGGCAGTGACCTGAGTACTCCCCCTTCAGTCAGTTGGTATCATTTACTGAGCAATAGAAGTCTGCACAGGGCTAGACTTACATAAACTGCCTATGATGTGTGGTTTCATTAGCCTCCAGAATACTCTTTGGATGATGTCTGAAATCCCATTGGTTAAAGCTTACCTCTTTGTATTAAGTCTTTATTCTCGGTTAAAAGGCAAATACTGGGGAGAGATAAGATAAACTGTTCTCAAACCCTGACACCTTAGAGGAAAGTGAAGGCTCTGAGAGCATCTCCTGATAGGAAAGAGAGGGGTAAAAGAAATCATTAGGACATGGAAGTGGAGTAGTAAGAGGATGTGGAGAACTAAGGCAGTGTGGTCCAGTGAAAAGCATGCTGTATTTGGGATCGGAGGAGCTGGGTTCAAATCCCAGCTCTGCCCCTTGTTATGTGTATAACTATGGGGAAATCATGTAGCCTCTCTGGGCCTCAGTTTCCTCATCTGGTAAGTGAGGAGTTTGGGGAGGAGGACAATTCATCTCTAAGGTCCCTTCCAACTCTTAAATCTGTGTTCCTCTGATCCTATGGCTTATGTATACATAGGCTTATAAAATCACAAAGACAAAGGAGACCAGACCCTATTCCTGCCTCCCCTGGGGAGTTTATAATCTTGTAACAGGGATAAGAGAGACCCCATGAAACGCCGCCAGGCCAATTCCACACCAATCATTCACATCTGAACAAATATCCAATAGCATAAGATAAAACAACACCTTGTGGCTGAGGGGAAGGGAAAAGAAGGAACCAGAGTTGGACATGCCCAACCAGGCAAGGGAACCCAAAGGAAGTGACTTTCTAAGCAGGAAAGCAAATCAGAACATCCTACACTGAAAACTCTTGTTTCCAGGAAACCAAGATTCATGCCTTGGGTGCTCATTCTGCTAATACAACTCAAGGAGTAGTGGCCACTAGCACCGAGAACACTGTGCAACTGATGAACTACAGGTCTGAGAAACTGTCCCAGGCAAAGAAGGAAGACTTTATTGACTATGAAAAGGAGAGAGAAGAAAAGGCTCAGCCAAGAAGTGTGAGGCTCTGGGACCTGGAGAAGGTTGGGGGGAGGGGGGGAAGGAGACAGGAGCTAGGAGTGGAGAATGATTACTTTTCTTTTCCTGGTGACTACATTCTTGTACTGAGCTCTATTCCAGGAACCTCTAAGGGTCAGTTTCCTGCTAAATTGATATCCTTGAAAGTCCTCAGGATACAGGATATAGTCCTTCCTCCATTTGTGGAGAAGAAGGGTATAACCCTGCCCCTTTTTTCAGCCAAGAATAAACATGGTATGGCATACCCAGGTGATAGTGAATGAAGAGGCCTGCCTATCTCGCAGGGATAGAGGAAGAGTGGGCCATCTATAGTGGCAATAAAAGTGTGTGTTTAATCCATATCACTCACGATGCAACAAAAATCCGTGTCCCCTTGTTCATGCTAGCTTCCTGAAAAAGCATTGATCCCAAAGGGAATAGAGGCAGTACCCCACAGCAACCCTGGTGTCCAATGTTTGAATTTTTAAAAATCTGACCTTTTAAAAAATACTGCTAGGACTACTCTGGCCTCCTCCCAAGTCCCGCATTAGGAAAAGATTTCCAAGTGGTGGCCAAGAACAGGGAAAACAGCTAATGTGGCCCCCTGGATCAGCCCAACTTTCTGTTCCTTATAGGTCTTTACTCAGTTAAATGAAAACCACCGATTCTGCAACATCAAGGTAACAGACTCCAAGTGAAGAGGGTATGGTGGGGAAGAGGGAGGTTGGGGAGAAGTCTTTAAAGAAGTTGTGAACCATATGCCCCAAGGAGGACCTGCATTGTCATTCTTTTCTTTTCTTTTCTTTTTTCTTTTCTTTTCTTTTCTTTTCTTTTCTTTTCTTTTCTTTCTTTCTTCCTTTCTTCCTTTCTTCCTTTTTAGTGAGACAATGAGGGTTAAGCGACTTGCCCAGGGTCACACAGCTAGTAAATTTCAAGTGTCTGAGGCCAGATTTGAACTCAGGTCCCCCTGACTCCAAGGCCAGAGCTCTATCTACTGTGTCACCTAGCTGCCCTATTGTCCTTCTTTTCTAAGGATGGGAAAAACCAAAGCTATGATGGAGAATCCATTGGAAGGCTTATCCCCATGGGTGAAGGAGCACTCAGTTGAGGATTAAAAGACTTGAGTTCAAATTTGAGCTCATCACTTATTTAACCTATACAGTCTTGGGCAAGTAATAACCTCTCTGGGCCTCAGTTTCCTCATCTTTAAAATGAGGGGCAGAGTAGAAACAGAGTGAAACAGAAAGATAATTGATTCTAAAGTCAGTAAACAGATTCAAATTCTACCTCGGTGTGACCTGAGGCTAGTCATATCTCTAGACATCCATTGTCTCATCTGTGAAAGGAGGGGGGTGAATTAGGTGATTTCTAAGGTCCCATCCAGTACTACATCCATGATTTTATGACATCATGCCCCATTGACATCACAAATGGAAACTGTCCATTAGACCATGCTGCTGGATAACAGGATTATAGCTTGGAGGCAGCCCAATTCCCTCACTTTTCAGATGAGGAAACTGAGACCTAGAGAAATTGTGAATTTCCCAACCTCATGTAACTAGTAAATGGCAGAGCTCAGATTTGAAGCCAGTCCAATAATCTTTCTACTGAACTATGTATATACCTATCCCAAAGGATACATTTTCTAGTCTCTGCTTTGCCATGCATTTTAATAGTAGCTAATAACAACTAACATTTATATAATGCTACATAGCACCTACTATGTGCCATGTACTGTGTTAGGTGCTTTACAGATATGCTCTAATTTGATCCTCACAACAGCCCTGAGTAAGTACAATTTTTATCCCCACTTTACAGTTGAGGAAACTAAGGCAAAGAGAAGTTAAATGACTTGTTCAGGGTGACACAGCCAAGTGTCTGAGTCTGGCTTTGAACTCAGACCTTCCTAATTCCAAGTCCAGAACCCTATCCACTGCCCAACCTAGCTACCATAGACAAAGCACTTCCTAACTCTTAATCTGTATCTGTAAAGTGAGGGGGTTGGGCAAGGGGGACTCTCCCAGATCTAAGCTTCTGTGATACTGTGGTTGTACGACTTCTCCAAAGAGACCTTTTCTCCCCAGGAGAGTTGGGGGGCTGGGTGGGGTAGGTCAGGGAAGTGGAGTCTCTGAGGCTTAGGCCAGGGCTGCTCAGCAACCCAGAGGTTCAAATGTTCTCAGAGCCAGGAGAAGCATGAAATTCTACCCCTTCCCTCCTCTCATCCCAGTGCTACTTGGATGGTCCCTATGGAACTCCAACCCGACGGATCTTTGCTTCTGAACATGCAGTATTGATTGGGGCTGGTATTGGCATTACCCCTTTTGCCTCCATTCTGCAGAGCATCATGTACAGGTGAGTAGGGGATCTGTGACTGACTTGCCAGTGAGGGAATTGTGTGTACCAAATTGACTCTATCTTGTAAAACTGACTCTATTTTATGACTTTAGCTGCACTTTCCTATGAATTCCACCTACTTACTAATCATGGGAACTGCATAACATCCTGTTTCATATCTGGCAAAGTCCACTTACTCACTCTCCCCACTCCCAACTCCCCAAAACTCACTCATTCCTCTTCCAACTTGGAAAGTCCCTAATCTTTCCTCCAATTTGAAATCAGATTACTTGATCTTGTATCCTGGTTTATATCCTGTTGACTGTTTTATTTCAATGCATAAAAATCTGTCGCACCCTATATTCAAGGTCCAATGCCAAGCTGAGGAGGTTTGGTCCTGATTTGTTATGCAATTGGCATGGATTATTTAATAAATCAATATGCTCAGAAGCTTGAACCTTTATTTCCTCAGTTATTTCAGATTTCATCCATCATACCAGCCCCTGATCTGCTGAAGTCTAGAGAGAGTTTTGCCTCCTTCTTCTCTTTCTTTTGTTTTTCTTACTCCAAGCCTATCCTTGTTGGGGTACCACTTCTGATGGATTGGATCTCTCACTGCCTGAGGGGCCAAATAAACTTCCTGGTTAATTAAAACATATTCTAATATCCAAGGGGTAAAAGTAGTTTCCAAGACAATTAAAAGTGGTTTAGGAAAATAAAAGTAGCAACAAGAATTAAAAGCAGACAGCAAGGAGGTTCCCTAGGGTGTCAGGAGCTCATCACCAAAGTCTTAAAAACTGATATTATGTATACCCAAAGATTCCATAACCAGTCCAAGGTCAAGTTACCTGGAGCCAAAGGTAACTCCAAACACCCCAGGTCTGCTCATGACAATCACATTGTGGGAGTGTAGGAGGGTTAACTTAAAAAAAAAACTAATTCCTTCAGTATCTTGGTCCACTCCACCCTCTTTCTTCCCTTCCTTTTTCTTCATTTCCCTTGTTCCTCTTTCCTCCATTTTTCGTACCCCAGTTTCCAACATGTCTCATTGGCCCTCTCTGGATGATTTTACTCAGGCACCAAAAGAGAAAGCGAAATTGCCCCAACTGCCATTACTCATGGTGTGAGAATGTCAAAAATGATGAGATGAAGCTACAGAAGGTAAGTGATGGTTTTCTAAGGGTGGGGTGGCTGGGACCACATCTTTCTCTAATTATGTATAACAACCCAAGAGACAATATCCTTCACAGAAGAAGGGGGAGGAATAAGATGACTTTTTACCTGCTGGAACCCTTCATTGCTTTCCTACACCTTCCCCCAAAGCCTCTCCCAGCCCTACCTCCCCCATCCACCTTTCTCAGATGCCCAATGTTCCATGCTGCCCTATCCCTGGGGATCTGCTTTCCCCCTCCTCTGTTTCATCCACCTTTTCTGGGAGAGGATCTTCATTACCTAACAGGAAGAAACCATCTGATTAAACTAATCAAAGCAGATGGGAAAGGCTGTCATATGGAAGAAGGATCATACTTATTCTGTATAGTTTCTGAGGGAAAAATTAGGACTGGCAGGTGTGTATGATCCGGGGAGGCAGAGAGGAAGATTTAGATTATGCATAGCAATTAGAGTTGTTATACAACAAAATTAGGGGCTTGGCTTTCACAGGAATGAGTTCTCTGGCATGAGAAGTATTTGAATCTTTGTCAAGGGCACTGCAGAGAGGGTTCTTGCATTGAGTGAGAGGCTCTATTAGATTTCGAAGAGTCAATGATTTTAATGTCTCCTAAGTTTACATTTAAATAAAAAATTATGTCTCATTTTGAAAGCTAGAAATTCATCAACACAAAGAAATAAATTTCTAGTAGGGAAAATGTGTCTAGTGCTGTGGGAGTAGGGATGGAGGGAAAGATAATATTCCTTGGCCATTCAAATAACATTGAGTATGTGATCACTACCCCATCTCCTTGTAAAACAGGTCCTATTGGCTTTGGTGGTGCTGGTAGGAATGCTATAGCTCCCATAATATCTTTTGAAACTCCCTCTAGCTAGGGATTCTTTGGAAAGTCCATGTACTTGGATGAAAAAAAAAATGAATCCCTATTCTCACTAGCTTTTGGCCTCCTTTGCATTTTATTTTATTTCATACCTTTAAACACATTATTCCAAGAAGGAATCCATAGGCTTCACTGGACTGCCAAAGGGTCCATGTCACCAAAAAGATTAAGAATCCCTGCTCTAAATCTTCCATTTTTGCAAAAGGGTTTATTCCACCACCACCCCTCACCCCCCACATCTCCTCCAAAGTCACTCACTGCACCCAAACCAGTTTAAGATGCCCTCTTTATTAAGCATCTAGGTCAGAAAGGAAACTGTCTAGAGAGTCAGGAGAGACCTCATGGTAACATGGTAAAGTTGCAGAAGTTGAAGTCAAAAGACCTTAGTTCAAATCCTGATTCTGTCACCCACAGCCTCTCTAGGCCTCAGGTTCCTCATGTGTAAAATGAGGAGGTTCAACTTGATGACTTTTCAAACTCCTTTCCAGATCTAGATTTGTGACTTTTGACATTGGTTCTGGACTCAGCTCTGCTGCCAAACTGGCTGTGTGACTTTAGATAGGTTACTTCTCTTTGGGCCCTAGTTTTCTCCACTGCCAAATAAGGGTGTCCAACTGGATGATTTCTGACTTTTAGAAGCTGTGATTCTATTTGCTGGCTCCAAGAGAGAATGGTCACTGACGGGCCCCATTCTACTAACATTAATAACAGCTTACATTTAGATAGCACTCTAAGGATCACAAAGTCCTTTCCTGATAACTTCTCAGTGGTTTCCAAGTATTATACTCCTGATTTTAATTCAATTGAATAAACATCTATTAAGAGTCTACTATGCCAGGCACTGTGCTAAGCCCTGGGAATACAAAAGAACAGCCCCTGCCCTCAAGGAGCTTATAGTCTAATAGGGGAGACAACCAGGCTTCCCACCCAGTTCTCCATAGTCCAGGTCCAGCACACTATACTACACCTGCAACAGATCAAATGGGTTGACCCTTACACAGAAAATCAGCCTGCGTTTCATGATGAAAGAGGGCATCCAGTCCTAGGTATTCCAAGGGAAGGGTTGAGAGCCAGGACATCCAGGTTTGTGTCCTGGCTGTCTATCTAAGCTTGAACAAATCACTTAATTTTCTCAACCTCACTTTGCTTATCTGCAAAATGAGCAGGTTGGGCTTGATGATGTTCAAGGTCCCTTCTGGCTCAAAATATATGATTTTATGATCTTATGACTTATTTGGGTCTCTGTTTCCTCATCTGAAAAAATAAGCATAATAATCATAGATCAATGAATGTAAAGGAATCCTAGCATCTAGGTGGAGCACAGAACCTGGAGCCAGGAAGACCTGAATTTACATCCGTCCTCAGGCACTTACTAGCTGTGTAACCGTGGGCAACTCATTAGACTCCCTTTGTCTTAGTTTCCTCAATTGTAAAATGAGGATACGAATAGTACCTACCTCTCAAGGTTGTGAGGATAAAATGAAATAATATTTGTAAAGCACTTTGCAAACCTTGAAGTGCTATATAAACGCTAGCTAGCTAGTAGTAATAGCAGCAGCAGCAGCAGCAGTAGTAGCACAAGTGGTTGTCATAAAGAGCAAATGTGAGAATAAATGTGAAATACTCTTCACCCAGAGCCTTGTGGATAGTAGGTGCTCAGATAATCAGCTGAACTGAAAGTACCTTGAAAAAGTTAATGAAAAAAGGTTAATGGTATATTTACTAACTGATGGATTAATATCACTAGGTGGACTTCATCTGGATCAACCGAGACCAGAAGTCATTTGAGTGGTTTGTGAGTTTGCTGACCAAGCTTGAGATGGATCAGGTCGAAGAGGAACCAGGAGGTAAGCTAAGATGAGTCTCAGAGCTTGGTATGGCCCGCAAAGGAAGTAGCACTCATGTGCACCCTAATAAACAGAAACTGGGAATGGGGTAGGAACAGGAGAGGTCAAGGAAGGTGCTAAGGGGATTGTGATCTGTTTTGGGGAATTCCCATACTTGTGAAACCACAAATATTTTCAAGTATTGAATTATAAGTTGGTTAAATAAATTAATTTCAGAGCCTTTTCATTGCTATCTCAAACACTAGAAGGGGTAGAACTGGATCATGTCCTACCTCAGATGAACTGGCCTCTCCTCAAAGTATTCTCTCTCTTCTCTTGCCCCTAGGCCATTTCCTGGAGTTGCACATGTACATGACTTCTGCCCTGGGCAAGAATGACATGAAAGCCATTGGCCTACAGATGGCACTTGATCTCCTGGCCAAGAAAGAAAACAAAGACTCCATCACTGGGCTGAAGACAAGGACCCAGCCAGGGAGACCAGACTGGGGCAAAGTAAGGACCTGATGGCATCATAGAATTATAATACAGTTTAAAGTAATCAAACACATTAGTACTTTCATACTATCCTGTGGTTCTCCTTCCCATCTAGGAACTTACCCACAGAATCACATCTCCTCTCTCCCAGGGAAAATAGGGATGATCCTTTCCATTTCTAAGATGGGGAAACTGAGGACCATGCATAGGACTCATAGCAAGCTTTTGGCTATAATTTAAGGTCATGGAAAGACAACACTATGGTCCCTATAAGCTCTATAGCACATGGTGGAGAGAGGAGGCTACTCCAGTCTAGGAAGAAGGAGAAGACCCATAAAATTATGTGCCTTGTTTGAGGGGCATGGAGTTAGTGACAGAGGCTTGGTTTAATTTCTGTCTTCAACCAAGATTTCCTACCTATTTCAATCCACTTCACTTTTCTGGACCACAATTTCCTCATCTATAAAATGAAGAGGTTGAAGTAGATTATTTCTAAGTTCTCTTCCTGCTCTAAATTTGTGACCAGTGTCCTCTGTCCCTTCCTCTTCTTCCTTCTCCTCTGCTTCAGGTGTTCCAAAAAGTAGCTGCTGAAAACAAGGGCAAAGTCCAGGTGTTCTTCTGTGGATCTCCAGCTCTGGCCAAGGTGCTGAAGAGTCACTGTGAACAGCTCAACTTCAGATTCTTCAAAGAAAATTTCTAATCCCAGCCCTGTAAGCTCTTTCTTACTAGGATTTGGGAAACTGTTATTCTTGGAGGAGTAACTTAAGGGTGATGTATTGTTATTGTGAGATGTCAAAACTTGCCACCTGTGATCAAATTCATAGTCACATAGACTACCTGGAAGCACCAAGACAAGAGCAGAGGTATTAATGCTCATCTCCAAATTTTATCTTGTCCTGATGGAGCTGAAGAGACCAATATCAGATAGATTTCATTTGGAACACAATGTAGTGCAAAATATATCATTGAATGTTTGTATTCTAGAACTTTGGAGGGCTGCTATATGTTTCTCAACCATCTCAGGCTTAAGGCTGACTGGGATGGGAAGGGTATATTACATATCAGTAAAAACAATTGCAGGAAGAATCTCAGGACAATTTTACCTTCTAAAGTAGTCTTCAGAGAGACCCTCCCCCCAAATTCTAAATGTGTGCTCTCTAAATCTATGCTCTCTCAGAGACAAACGGACAAGTGGAAAGATGTTTTCAATTCGTGTGGAGAAAATCTCTCCACTTATCTGTATGCTGTTTGCTATCTTTTTCCTCTGCATCTTTCCATCTATTTCTTTCTGTCTCTCTATCTCTCAATATCTTTGTATCTGTCTCTCTCCTTTTCTCTTTCTTGAACAGCAACATCATAGTGTGGGGAACCTATTGCACTTTCAGTCAGGAATACCTGGGTTTGAATCCCACTTTTGAAAATTACCAGTGGTGTGACTCTGGGCAAGTAGAATAACCTAAGTCTCAGTCTCCTCATTGCAACATGAGGAACCTCTCTTTCAGGGCATTGTGAGGATCAAATGAGATATTGTATAGAAAGCCCTTTGCAAAACTTGAAACATTATATAGTCACCTCTCTTTGTCTCTCTGTTTCTCATTTTACTGATTGGGAAACTGAGTCCCAAAGGCTTGAAGTGACTAGCCCAAGGTCACACAGCTAATGAAATCCTAGGAATGTCTATGCCCACCACATTCAGCAAAATACAAAGCAAAACTTGAAAAGCACTCTCAGAGGAGCAAAGTCTGAGGGCTTTTTCTGGAATTCTCTTTCTTGGGATTTTCAGGTAGATGGAAGAGTCCCCAGGAGAGAGTCTTAGCAGGAGGAGCTTCACCTATAGCATGTCAGCACATGTGTGTACATACTTTTAAAAATCTTTTTCCTTTTTTGACAGAACCTGTGATTTACTTGGGAGTAGAGAATTCCCTATAAGGTCCCCTACTAATGCAGTTCAGTAGCTGGTCTGTATCCTAGAGTCTTAGAGGGTTACCTAGGGGCACTGAGTGATTTGCCTAGAGTCACATAGCCTATATGATTCTGAGGTGAGATTTGAACCCAGGTCTTCCTGGCTCCCTTATTCACTATATCCTACTCCTCTCTTCACTATATCATGCTTCTTGCTGATAGATAGATAGATAGATAGATAGATAGATAGATAGATAGATAGATATTTACCGGGGAGATTGAAAGTTATTGACTAATATGCTATCATATGTATCACAGTGCCCTTCATACATTAGATCTGAATTCAGAACATGGGATGGAATCTGATAAAATAGCTCAAAGAGACAAAAAGACAAAGGGCAATGGTTTATAGAGAATAGAGCCTTGGATTCAGAGTAAGATGACCTGAGTTCTAGCCCTAACTACCATCCACTGGATATGTGTGACCTTGATAAGTCATTCATCATCTCTCAGCTTTATCTGTTAATTGGTGATAACATTATGTGTCCTTCTTGCTTCACAAAGTGTAATGAAGATCAAATGAGATGCTCTATGTGAAAGTGCTTTGTAAATGATAAAGCTCTATATACATATGTAAAGGAAGAAAGAAAGAAAAGATATGGAGGGAAGGAGGAAGAAAGGAAAGAAGGAAGGAAGAAAGGAAAGAAGGAAGAAAGGAAAGAAGGAAGAAAGGAAAGAAGGAAGGAACAAAGGAAGGAGGAAAGAAGAAAGAAGGAGAAAAGGTGAAAGGAAGAAGGGAGGGAGGAAGGAAGGAAGGGAAGTAGAAAAGAAGGAAGAAAAATGACGCATGTATCTAGGATATGTTATATTGGGCATCTGTCAAGGTGTGTTGTAGTAAGGATTCCTTTTCTATATGATTGGACTATATGAACACTGAGGTTCCTTCTAAACCTCAAATTCTGTGATTCTGTGGAAGCATTAAGGTTATCTATTCTAGGCCAACATAGTGGTAGATAATGGGACTCTAGGAATTCCTAGGTCCACAGTCAGCAGTGAAAAAGATGGTTGAAATGTCATTGTAGTACTGATGAAAAACTAGAGGGGTAAACTCTGAGCCCAAATGGTTGAGGACCTTTCTCATCTGGAGACTAGAAAGGGACCTAAGAAAGAAACTTAGTTCAGGAGGGCAGATTATAGAGTGGGGATCAGGGGCGGGGTGAGTGGGAGACTGATATCATAGGATCATGGAGAAAGCAGAAAGAATAGAGGTATTATCTAGTCCAACCTCTTCATATTACAGATGAGGAAACTGAGGCACAGAAAGGTTAAGCGACTTACCTAGGGTCACACACCAAGCAAATGAGGTGGGTTTAGTTTTGCCTGTTTCCCACTCCAGTGCCCTATCCATTATGTTATACTTTCTTCTGGAGGGGACAAAAAAGAAAGATCCTCCTGTAATAACTTATTTAGTCCCATCAGTGTAGCTATCTCTGTTTTGTATTTTGTTGTTATGCTTTTTCCTGGTTGAGAAAAAAACCCACTGATAATTCACTTCTTACTACTCTAAACCTACCCCCATCTCATTTAGTCCTAGATTTCCACCTATAAGTTTAGCTAAAGTCCCTTCAGCTTTTAGCACTGGCAGCACCAGTGTCATCTAGTGTTGGAAGGGTGCAACTGCAGGCAGACGGTATCCCAAAGTGGGGTAGTGGATGGAGTTGGAGAAGTAATGATGCCCACTTTTCCACTTTTTATTTTACAATGAGGTTCCCAGGAACATATTTCAGCAAAAATGAGAGAGTATTTGTCTTTGGGAACATGAAGCACCAGCTGCAATTGGCAGTGTTAGCCTGTGAGTGCTTGTAAGCTTGAGTTGAGCTAAGCTGACTAGCCAGTAAGAATATCTATCAGTGGTCATTTTCAACTGTATGTACCTTGTGCCCTAAAATTCCTTTACACTGTAATAAAACTTAACTGTGCTCCAAAGTCATTTATGTCTGCTAGATTACATTTGCCTTCAGAGGAGACTGTGTGGGTTAAAGATGCCAAAATCATGATGAAACTTCTATGACAGATATCCACCTTTCTTACCTTCTTGTTAGAGTTTATCCTGTAGTGATCATGATGTCCAGTGGATGGTAACATGGAAGGCTTCCCTTCTGGGAGCACCCTTCTGTTTTTGTCCTAGCATCTGACAGGCTTTTATTTGCTGAGTCTCAGAAATACAGGAATACCCCACTTTTTTTTGTGCAGGCTTATAATTTCATTGATATAGGGGATTCCTAGTACAGAAACACTCTTCCAATACAGACTAGTAATTGCTTTATAGCTTATAGTCTTAGAGAGTGGCCTTGAGCCCTGAGGGGTACTGTCACAGACATATAATACCTAGGGCTATTATGTCTCAGAGAGGGGAACTGAATTCAGGATATGGTGGCTCTGAGGCTGACTCTCTCTCTATTCCATCATGATGCCTCTCTAAACCCACCTAATGTTGTTGATTACTCATTTTTTAAAAAAAAAATAAGAAAAAAACCCAGAACTTTTGATGAAACAACATTGTAAGGGAGACTTGTTTCAAAGGAACTACAAATGGCAGATGTGTTCTTGGGTGGACAAAAGGGTCTTTAAAGAGACCTGAGGAAATAAAGGGGAAACATGGGAATATGGCTGGGCTGGGCAGGTGCAGTCATCTGAACTGCTATAAAGAGCTGAGACCAGACATAGGTGGAGACCAGAGACCCCAAGATGGGCTTCTCACCCATATTATTTAGCTCCAAATCCAGTTCTCCATCTGAAGTGTTATACAATATCTCACCAGTCCAAAAGCCTCATCTTATATACGAGGAAACTGAAGTCCCAGAGAGGTAAAATGACTGAGACCACATGTGTAGTAATTAGCAGAGCTGCAATGAAGACAGACCCCTTTCACTCCAGCTTGGCATACAAATGAGTTTGAGTCAGAACAAGAACTAAGCAGAACAGGCTAGATCCTCATGCTCCACTCTCCTGGCCTCCATCCTGCCTTTATCATGTAAATCTGTCAGTAGCAAGACCAGCTGGCTTTGATGCTGGATTTTAGCCATCAGAAAACCTCATTGTCTCTCTAAGGCAGAGAGATTCTTAACCTTTTGTGTCATGGAGCCCTTTGGCAGGATGATGAAGCCTAAAGACCTAGCCGCAGAATAATTTTTTGTTATCTGCCTACATTTGTGATTGAAGAAAATGCTAATTTTCAAATAGAGATTAGTGAAAATAAAGATGCATTTTCCCCCATCCAAGTTCATAGATCTGCTGAAATATATCCTCAGTGGTGGACTGCAGTTTAAGAACTTTTGTTCTAAGATAAATTTGGGTAGAATCATTACCAAATGAGGAACTGAGAACTGAGGAAAAGAGAATGGGGCAGGACACAGTGAGGTGGGGGTGGGATGGTTGTGCAGAACTCCACTATGTCTGAAGGAAAGAACTGAACACCCATCTGGGTTCATTTCTGTCCGCCAAAGTCATTTGGGGCAGAAATACATGCTGGTGAACTGTGAACTGCTTAACATGGGAGGAGGCTGAGATGCTTTGAGATCTAGCCCCTGGGAAACCACCATCACAAAGGAGGGAGTCAGAAAGAGAGTAGTAGAGAAAAATAAGGGGGAGAAGACTAAAATTACCAAAAACCTCATGAAGAAGAAAACTTAGAGACCAGCAATGGAAACAGATAAATCAAAACAGTGAAAATATTAACAATAGAAGGAAATATGGCCTTCAAATCTAATAGATGAGTTCAGGCATCTATGAATAAAATACTGAAAAACAAAAGAAAACTATGTGACACTTGATGAGACAGAGGAACTTGTTGAATTTGAAGATAACATGGAACTACTACAACCTGTTCCTTAGTGGTTTGAAAGAGAAATGAGAATTTTGAGGGCAAAATGTATGATCTCACAGCAACAATAACTGACAAAATAGAAAAACTTGAATCTGTGATGGCAAATCTCACTAAAGAAACAAAAAAGGGGAGGGGAACAATTGGTTGGAAATGCAAATATTCAGAAGTGAAGGACAATCTATAAAAACAGAGGGAAAAAAAATAACATTAATAGAAAATAAGCTCTCTATTGAATTAAAACATCCTTATATCAAAGACAGGATGCATAGAGACAACCCAAGAATTAGAGATCTCCCAGAAGAACATAACAAATGAAAAAAACCTGAAAAACACAAAGCAAAAAATAATACAAGAAAATTTCTCAGAACTTCTGAATGTAGAAAATGAAATACCAATTGGAAGAAAGCATAGATTGTCTCTAGAGGAAAAAAAATAAGGCTGTGAACTCCAAGACATATAGTGGTGAAATTTAACAATTCAATTCAGAAGCAAGAATTTCTACAAACAAGTAGAAGAAAGACCTGTAAATACAAAGGAAAGAAAATTCAAATAACATAAGACTATTCTTCACCCATTGGAAGATGCAGGAGGGAATGGAATAATGTATTCTGAATATCAGCAAAGCGCAGAATATAGTCCAGAGTGACCCGACAATCTGAAATTAATCATAAATTTAAAAAGATTGACATTCAGTAACAAAAAGGTGTTTGAAACATTCTTAGAAAGAAAACCAGACCTGATGAGATTATTTATTTCTTAAACACTGCAAATAAACAAAAACGCAGGGGGAGTGAATGAATGCAGCATCCAAGGAAAGCAACTACAATAGAGGGGCAACAGAGAGAACAGTAAGAGACTTCTTTCTAAATGCACACAATGAGATAGGGGTGAAAGCAGAAATCAGGTGAAGGTAACAGTAGAGAGGTAGGCCTGGAGCAATATAGACAGAATCTTATGACATCCTGCCTATAGGTGAATCAATGTTTTTTGTGGGACTATATTACAAAATGTGAGGATACGTGAAAGTGGGGATTGGATCAGGAAAATAAAGAAGAGAATGTGATGTGCCCAAGTCAAATTAAGGGCTAGCAGTGAGGGCAAAATGATCCCTGTAGCCTCAAAAAGAGAACAGTCTACAGGGAGTAAGGAAGTGGGAGGGTTAAAAAGTTGGTAGGAGGAGAAGGAGGCCATCTTTGGTTGTAGAAAGGAAGGTGATGAATGCTTCTTCAGATAAAAGAGATGTTCTGTGAAGGAAGATGGGGATCCTATGCTGGATATTGTCGGGGGGATTTTTGATACTTGAAAAGGCCACTTCTCCTACATTGGGGTGAAGGAGGGAGTTGGAGCTCCTGGGGGCAACTGGCCCCTTGGGGAATGGGAAAGCATAGACCCAGGGAGAAGATTTTGAGGCAAATGGGGAAAGAAGATCACCAGGGGTAAGGTATAGATCAGTGGTGGTCTGCATAATCAGGGATATGGAGCAGGAAATGTCCTACCATATGGCAGTATCCTCACTGTCACCTGCAGGAATTGGCATTGTTTTAGGATTGAGGCACAATTGTAAAGGGGAATCTGTAGGGCAAACTCTACAAGGCAGTAACAGAAACTGCCTAGAGGAGAGAGCTCAAAATGGATACCTTGGAAGTTCTGCCTACATGAGGAATACAGAGAATAGAGAGTGACCAGATAATTATGGAGGTCATGAACCAAAGGATGAGGATCTGGAATAGACAGAAAGA